TCCCCTTTGCAATGGGGGAAAAAAGATGGTCCTGCTGGTGTTCAATCTGGATCAACATTTTATTGTGAAAAAACATAATTTTGAAATATGCATGTCACACATTAAATTCCTTTGCTTTACCTCATTCAATCTCCCAAACCTGATCATCAGAAACATGATGTAAAATAAAATCAGAGGCAGTTAGTACAGAATGGGGTAATATACCAGAGCAGCAAAATGGCTGATTTCTCTCTTCTTCAGTACAAAATGAGACTTCAAGTGCGGTGTGACAGTGGAGCATCTCCATTACAACACTGATGAGAAATAAAACAGCTTTTACCACAAAGCAAATCAGGCTTTGGCGCTGAAGCTGTGTGAGTGACACTGATCTCTCTGTGCGTGTGTGTGCGTGTGCCTGATCTTCATCCATCCATCTATCCATCCATCCATTTACTCTAAGCTCTTAAGCAATGCTGCTGTTAAAAAGTCCCCTAAAACTCTAAGCCAAGAGCAATAACATGAGCGGCAGGAGGATAACGTTGATGTAATGTCAGACACACACAACTGACACCCAGTGTTACTCTCGTGTTAACAAAACCCATCACGGTCTGTCTGTCCGTCTGAAGGCGCGCGCTAATCTGCTCTTAATCACAAGCTCTTATTTACAAAAAATACATTTTTTATTAATGCAGCAGAGGGGGAGGGGAATGAGGGAGAGGAGGATGATGGTGATAGTGGTGATGGTGATGATGATTTTGTGATTAAATGATGCCATCGTTGTGTTGGTGGATTAGGACGGGCATGGAAATAGATTAGTTCTGCAGTGGTTTTTCATCATGATTGGCAGGCCTCCAAAACCTCACTCTAAACACTCCCTCTCCCTTTCCTCTCTTTCTATTGCTCCCTCTCCATAAAGCAGAGCTGTGCAGAGGTCTATGGTTTGTAGGCTGCTAGCACCACCCGCTGGTAAAGAAAGACATGATAAAAAATATCCCACTCTTTGCCCCACATAACTTCACTTTGATTTAAATGGATTGTGCAGCGGTTTGGCTCAACCAGAATGGTTACTGTGGCAAACTAAAGGAAAATATACAACTAATTTGTTTTCCCCAAACACATTCTGAATGAAACATAATTGCTGGATGGATTCCCTGGCAGCAATTTTCCAGTCAAGAAAGTCCTCAGTTCTTGTAGCACACAGATCACAGGGGAGGGGTTGGGTTGGATAGTTGGTGACTCTGACTTGCATGTGGGTAACAAAAACCCTTTCATTAGGGAAAAGCTTGTGGTTTTGGTTTAAGACTGTGCTGTATTTCACACAATGCCGACAACAGACCTACATCCATACTGTGGTTACCTTGCATTCTTCTTGTCTTTTCTATGATGTATTTATCCTTGTATAATAGATAAACATCAGTTTGCATCTCTAGAAAAAAGTGTTATCTCTTTGCTCCATCAAAACTTGCAGCTGTTCAATGTGCCTTTAGGTTATTATAGCTGTGCTGGACATGTGTTGATTGGTAGTGTACAAATACAAGGTGCAAAGTGTTAAAGAACATTAGGGTGGAGTTTTCCTCATATAGACCTTTTCCACCAACAGGGAACTGGCTCCTTTTCAGCTCCTGTAGTTGTAGTTGTAGTTGTAGTTGTACTTGTAGTTGTAGTTGTAGTTGTAGTTGTAGTTGTACCGTTTGGAACATTTCAATCACAAATAAATTGGTTCGGAACCCAAAAAGTCGGTTCCCAACTGAAACCAAAAAATGGCAGGTTTTCCTTGGGAACTGTTCGTTTGCTAGACAGAAGTTTCAAGAATCTTGAACAGAACTGGTTCAAGAACCAGAGCTAATTTGAAGGAAAAACACTGTCACAGGCCAGTTCAAGTAGTTATTTTGAGCTGTTCACAACATTTAAAACAAAAATGTATTGGTTCGGAACCTGAAAATTTGGATCTGGAACCCAAGAAAACGGCAGGTTGTCCATGGGAACCAAAATGGGCGTTTCATATTCTTCAGGTCATCTTGCATTGTGGAGCTCCCTCTGTCCGTTCCAATTACAATGGTTCCACTCAAAACTGGTGGAAACGGGGGCTGGTTTGCTAGAGAGCACCAAGGTTCCAAGAATCTTGAACAGAACCGGTTCAAAAACCAGAGCTAATTTGTTGGGAAAACCACTATTAGTGTACAGTGAATGTGTGAAGTTCTGGAAAGAGACCCTGACCACTCCTCTGCCCCTCAGCATCAGCAATCTGCAGCCATCACTCCTCTCTCTGCTTCCTCATTAGGATTCGGAGACAAACACAACCCAGTCAAGTAGACACACACATATGTACAAATGTACTGCACACAGTTTGATTCTAATTGGGTGACCCAAAGCCACTGATATCATCTGCTATGGTGTGAGACCACCATCTCACCCAGAGCGACCGGTGGCCTCTGCAGTCACACTGCCTCCAAAGAACACTGGAGGAGTGAGGGAAGGAGGAAGGGTAAAGAAAAGACAAATAAAAGACAAACTGGCCTAAGAAGGAAGGAGAAGAAGAGGAAGAACACAACAACAACAACGACAAAAACACAAAGTGGCGCCGAGTTCATTAATTAGAATTTCAAATTGGACAAACTCAAGATGACAGCGTTGCGCTTGTCAAATCAGATCATGCCCCGGCGGGGTGAGAGAGAGGGAAGAGAGAGAAGGAGGCACACTGCTCAGAGCCAAATACCACTCTTAGTAGCTGAATGGGTGCCATCTCTCTCTCTCTCTCCTTCCTTCTCTCTCTCTTTCTCTCCATTTCCTCTGATTTCGCCGACTGCCTCCCCTCTGTCCCCGCTTGAATGTCACGGCCGCCTTAACAAGAAGTGACAATTAAAACATCATCGCCGTCTCCAGGCTGAATGGGAGCGGCCTGCCGGGGTCCCTGGTTTCTGTGAGGGGGGAGAAATGGAGGATGAGAGAGAGAAAGACACACACACACACACACACACACACACACACACACACACACACACCAGAGAGAGAGAGAGAGAGAGAGAGAAAGATAATAAAAGAGATGGAGGAGCTGGAAGGAAAAATACAAGAGAAATGGAGAGAGAGATACTTTGGCAACATATACTGAACCATTATGCCAATAAAGATAAATTTGTGTATGTTTGGATGTATGTGTATAAGGAATGGAACAAAGAAAACATCCATAAAACATACATCATTAATGCTTTAAATAACCATGTAATGGAAAATCCAGTGGTACTGTGCCCTTAAATAAAAATTAAGCTGTCCATTTAATAACACAGGACCATCAGGATTAAGAGGGGAAAACATTGTATTTTTAGTTATTTCACTTCACTTCACACATTAGGTGTGAATTTACTGTCATGTGATAATCTGATTTAATGAGCAGTTTTATGTTTTTGTTTATTATTTTACTAAAAAAGGTTGGCAGTTCTTCATAGCCCTCCTCACAACGAGAATGCAAACCAAAACCAAAGCCAAGTAGTAGTAAATGTCTGTGGTGGATATAATAGTGTAACAGTTTTGTTGACACTGTGTCAGTGATTTCCATAGTAAATGTAGCTAATATTCTGTCCATCTTGTTCAATCTAATATCACTGATATTGCATCCAAAAGTTTGGCAAATGTGCCAAAGATAGATCAGAACCTCTGACTGTGTTAAACCAGAACAGTTCCAGTGTCTCCATCACTTCACACCATCAGAGTTACTTTAACACTTTCACATAGTTATGAATTATTGCCTCAGAGGCTCATCAGCAACTGTCCAATCAACACTTGAACACTCAAAGGAAATATCAATGAAATAACAGCTCAGATTTGCAATTTAGTGGTCCTGGAACAGTTTCAGTAAAGCTAACATCCGACATGCCCTTAAACAGTCACGCAATGTGTCCTCACCTGTCTACATGTCATTTAGATTAGATTAGATGTAATTGCAATGATCCCTGTGGGCGAATAATGGAGTGAAGAGCTTGAGAGACTAATTTATAGCTAATGATTATTGAACAAACTGCTGTGAGGGAAAGCAAACATAAGAACGGGATCTAGAGAATAAGATGAAATACATGCAATGGTAATTTCACCAGTGGCCTAGATCAAGCAGGCTAGATGGTGTTTGGCATTTTGAAGTATGTGTTTTATGTGTGTGTGTGTGTGTGTGTGTGTGTGTGTGTGTGTGTGGGTGCACTCACTGGACGCTTCACCAGCTGTGCCACTGCACACAAGGAAGGAGCTGCCGCCAAAATGAGCTGTCTTCACAAAGAGCCAAAAATCATCCAGCACGCCACTGGGCACACACACACGCACACACACATTCACACGTATGTGCATCCATTGCATGCACAGACAGAGGCAGACATATAGACAAGATCCCAGTTAATGAGGCATGTATTTACAAGTGGACACAACTTAAACTCCTGAGTTTTAATTTTTAAACTTGTACAGTGTATCCTGATTTATGTTGCGTGTATGTGTGTGTGTGTGTGTGTGTGTGTGTGTGTGTGTGTGTGTGTGTGTGTGTGTACAGAGCCAAACAGCCAAGGGCTCTCCGGTTTGATGGCTTTCTGTTATGACTCCATTATGCTGATGGCTTTGGTTCTGTTCCAGGTTCTCTACGAGTGTGTGTGTGTGTGTGTGTGAGTGAGTGTCTAGGTGTGTGTGTGTGTGTGTGTGTGTGTGTGTGTGTGTGTGTGTGTGTGTGTGTGTGTGGGGTGGCAGGAAAACACTCCTTAGAATCATTAAGGATCGTGCAAGCATCTCTGCAGAGCCTGGCTCGCCCCTATAGTTCCTGAACCTTTGAAAATTATAATTTTAGTTTTTTGCACCTGGAGCTTTATTAAGTACCAAATGCAGGTTTAATCCATAAGTTCCTCAAAACATTCTTGATCCCCCTGGGAAAGTTCCTGTAGTGGAAATGTCCTCTTTTAGGTAAAGAAATGTGTTAAATTTTTTGTAATGATCTTGAACATAGTCTTTTAATTTCAGGAAAAAAAACATTATAGAGAAATCACAATAAATCATTACAATACCAGAGGTCCATTTAATTGAGTGCAAATGTACAATGGTCAGCAGAACATTTATTGCCCTACATTTACAGTAAGCGACAGACAGAACACTGACAAGAATCCACTCACACAAACACAACACAAAAAGGACTGATGAAAACTATTAGTCCAGTATGACTTCAAATTTGTTTGATGTTCTTACATAAAGGTAATGGCTGCAATTCCTTAGATATATATATGTTAACTCTTCATGTGTTTAATGGAGCTGTAAAGGCTATGATATAATAGTATAAAACTCTTTTTTATCCACCTTTCTAACCTGTACCTCACCATAAAACTCAAGTCCCCTTGTAGCTGATTTGTAACTCTTACACAAGTAGTATGAAATTCTCTGTAACTCATACATATTATGTTTGTAACATCTCACATATGTTTTATCAAAGCCACAGCTGTATCCTGGATATTTGTTGGAAAAGGAGATGGGAAGCAGCAGAACGAGCCACAGTGGCTGGGTTACTGTAAGTTATTGTGCAGTATTGCATGAGACATTAGCCTACTTTTGTTAATTATTTTGGACAGTTGTGTGTTTGTCATTAATTTAAGTTTAAAAGGAGCTAAAGTGCTATCTCCCCGCAGAACTGTTCTCCAGCATATTGCAGTTAGACCACAAATATTGCACGAATATACATTTACAGTATGTCTGTGTCAGTATGTTTTTGGCTGTTGCATTGCAGAATATCCTTCTTGTGTGCACACTGGTTGTTGTGTGTGCATGTGTGTGTGTGTGTGTGTGTTCTAGGCTTCTTCATCACTGCTACACCAGGTAGGTCCATTCGCTGGGTGTGCGTCCATACTGTAAGAGAGCAAAAGGTCGTGAGAAGGTTACAAGAGAGTCCTCCAGGGGGGCCCGAGCAGTTAGCAAAAATAAAATCTCACGTCACTAGAGCACTAAACTTCTCTCGCCCGCCGCTGCTTAATTGCGAGCAAAAACACAAATCAAAAAATGAAATCAAATATCCGTGAGCAAATCTGCAAACTCAGCCAGCACCAGAACACAGCACAACGGAGAAAAGAAACTATAATAAAAATCAAAACAAAATGTTCCCCAATCCGTGACAGCCGTGGAGACAAATCCAATTATTTGTGTCTCATGTTGCAAATTTGTTCTAATGGTCGAAGTGAGAAAGTAAATAAACGCCTGCGAAGGGGAAACAAAAGAATGTGATTTCTAATTAACTTGAAAGAGGAACAGCAGGGCGACTTAGTAAACCCATCTTTCATCTGCTGCCTCAGACCACTCGTTTGTTTGTTGCACAGTGTTGTCTTCAGAAGGGGCGGGAGGAGGAGTGTGTGTGGGGGGATAACACCGCACTGCTTCCCTCCAAATGAAATGTCAACAGATTTAACAGCGCTGCGGAAGGAGCGCAGCGTTTTCCAGCGTTTTGTCGATTTTATTGTTCATTAAGCTTCACTGCCGCCCCATCTCCCTCCCCCCCGTCAAATCTTCTTCCTCCTCCTCCTCCTCTCCCACTTGTTCGAGGCTGCATTTGCAGCATCTTGGCTTTGAAGATCACAAAAGGCTGAGGCAATAATTGGGTTTGTGCAATTACAGCGAGCTTAATGAGAGAATTCAGGAGTTTGTCTTGCCCCTATCTCCAACTCTCCACACTCCGCCATTAGGCCCCGGCAGCTGTCTCTCTCTCCCTCAGAAGCACTGTCGACGGAGGCCGATCTTATCGTATATAATGATGTGGTCAACGCATTCATAACACACATGCACACAAGTCCTGGGTGATGGAGAGAGCAGATATGCTAATGGCCTGCCCCAGACTGACCAAGGAAGACGAAACAACAAAAAACACAGATGCGGCAGAAAGTAAAGAGAAGGAGAGGGAGACAAAGCGAAAGAAAAGAAGAGAAAAGTCATTAGTTGAAGAGATAAGGCAGATCGACTAATCAAAGTGTTTAGAGGACGTTTAAAAGATCAGGAAAGGGCCACTATCTGCTCATGTAATTCAGATGTGTAAGCCTGCAAGGCATCCAGTGCAAAACCAGTTTATGATTCATAATCAGCTTGTCATCAAAGGACACTCAGAAAAGGACACACTAACCTTTAACTGTTCCCCAGTCTGGAGTATTTCTCTCTTTGCAGATTCAAATAATTTTGTTCGGCTTAGTTCAAAGATTTAAAATCAATAACTATATGTAGTTTGTGCATATCACAATTCAGAATGCTGATCAAAAGGCTGTGTATGCCTTTACCTCAGTTTTGGATTTTTAAGCAGCGGTGGAAGAAGTATTCACATCCTTTTCTTTAGTAAAAGTACTAATACAACAATGTGAAAATACTGTAAGTCCTGCATTTAAATCATACTTAACTAAGAGTAGTGAAGTCTTATAAGCAAAGTGTACTCAAAGTGTCATCAGTGCTCATTCTGGAGAAAGATGTCCCCTGTGACTGATATATCCTCACATATGACATTATTAGATTGTTAACACTGATGGATCAATGAGTACGTAGCATTTTACTGCTGAGCTGGTCAAGGTGGAGCTAGTTTTAAGTACTCTCTATACAGTTAGGTATTTTAGTCCAGTGGTTCCACACAAAGGGGTCAGACCCCCTCCAAAGGGTCAAAAGATAAATATTAGGGATTAGGGAAATTTATATTCATTGTGCTCACCTTTCTCTATTTTTGTTTTTCTTTTTGTGAAATGTTGGATAAGAAACTTTCGGGGAAGTTCAGAGGAAAAGGTCTCTCAGCTCATAGACATTTTAACGTGACATGGGGCCCAGACAAGACACTGTACTGAACATGTCCAGTCAGCTCTACAACTTAACAGGAACTACAGAGACTAAAGTTAAAAAAGGGTTCCAAGTCAGTTTTGGGCCAAGACATCTTTAGTTTCAGAAGATGGAAGATTAGGTTTTAACCAGTCCGTTTTTTAACACAGCATGTTTGGTGGACAGATAACACTTGCCCTAAAGATTTCTGTGTTTTAGCTTAGGTTCTGGTGCCGGTGACATACAGGAAAATGGAAAAAGTTTGAGTGTGTAACCAGATAGGAGCATGGCTTATGTTGTCATTTGTTGTGACTCTTGTCTGGAAAGAGAAGCTTTGTTTGCTGAGTATGAAATACATAATCACTTGTAAGATCATTTCATGTGTTTAAAGCAGAGAGACACCAAAGGTTTTCCAGTTTTCTGAATGTCATACAAGACTTACAAGTCATCCACAACTGCTGTTTCTTGGAAACAAACCCTTACAGAGGCTGCAGTTTTGCTAAATTAAGATTTAGTGTGCGCTGTACAGAGATCCTGACATCCCAGTGCAAGTGATAAAGTAAGGATCACATTCAAGCTCATACCCCTACTAATAATAGGCTCGTTACACAGCACAATAACAGACAGTCAGCGATACATAACACACTCATTAACACAAATCAGGCCTTCAGCAAAGAACATTATGAATCTGTTTAAACCTGCAGTGCTGCATAGACTGTAGTGTAGGCCATGTACAATATTACGGAGACATTACTCATTACCTAATAAGATATTTCACTTATTAGCTACTTACAGGCAAGATAATGTATGTAGTGGTTGTACAATGAATGAGGACCAATGAGGGTTTGCTCATAAAAGAACAACTTAATGCTTTTATCTCGTTGAGTTACATAATAACCACTCATATAACAGTCCTGCAATGCAATTATGGAGATGCGTGATAAGTTAATATTTGGAGGAGAACATTTTTTTTTGTTAGGTCTTGCCTCTCAACAACCATATTTTCAATGTATCTAGTTATTTCTCCTTTTTCAGTGAAGCCTCTTTATTGCTGGTTAGTGAGCACTAACAAGGCTGACATGTGACAATGTATAAATGTTCTAGGCATTTGTCATCTTGTCAGACAGCTAGTGCCACTCGCACCCCCACCTTTTACTTAGAAGGATGCTGTTCCTTCTAATTGTTCTCCAACAATCACATCGCTGAATGCTTTATAAAATAGAGACCTGAGGGTGACAGGAGTGTAAAGAACACAGATGCTCAACAAGCTGTTACTAAGCTAGGCAAAACATCTGTGGGATGTGTGTGTATATGTGTGTGTATGTGTGTGTGTGTGTGTGTGTGTGTGTGTGTGTGTGTGTGTGTGTGTGTGTCTGTCTGTCTGTCTGCATCCACAAACCTGTATATCTGAGAGTTCTTTTGCAATCCGTGAAGTCAGCTGTGAGTTTTTATCCTGACTGGGGATGTGCAAGTTCTAAAACACACAAAAAGACACAATTTTAATAATTTAATCTGCTCTGTGAACTGCTTGTTACAATTTAAAATTATGGGAACATAGAGAATATTAAGTAAACATATTATGATATTAAAACCAAGTAGCCATGAGGTCCTGACAACCTTCTAAAGATAAAAAACATCCATGTGGTCACAAGAGACGGTGAGCCTCATTCATCAAGGCACTAAGCTTCTAAAAGTTGAAAACTATTCACAGATAACTACTTTGTATTAAAATGTGCTTCTTTCATATGAAACATTTAATCAAATAAAGACAGCATGACTTTTTTTTACAGTGTAACTTTGGGCTCTAGGCACAAAGTCCAACTTCCTGTAAGTTATCATTAGAAAGAAGATGAAACTTTATAGGCTGCAACCGACTCGCCTCATACTCTCTTTCCTAGTGTGTAGGAGAAACTACGGTGGCTGCAAAACCCGTTGGCTAATGGGCCATTATTGTAGCTACTATATATAAATGGACCTATCTAGAGCCTGTGTTTGGTTAGTCCCTTCTGGGCTTAAGAAAATATAAATCCTGTTGCACTCCACTATGACATTCATTGTTTGTTTAATCATTTAAATCTAAGTGATACAACCCATTATTTATTTTCATACAAACATAAACCTTTATATAAAATATGTAATGTCTAATAACACTTTATATTATTGGCTTTCATGTATATTAGTGAACAGAGAGATACATACAGTGTATATTTCTCAGGTGCTCTTTCTCTTACCTCTCCCTGGTAAACAATGTCTCCTATGGGGCAGATCATGCAGGCAGTACCGGAGCCAAACATCTCTTTGACCCGCTGTTGCTTTATAGCAGAGCACAGCTGGGCCATGGTCAGGTAGCGCTCTTTCACCTCAAACTCACCCTGGGCACAGGAGAGAGTGGACAGGACCAGAGGAAATGTGAGGCAAAGTTCAGAAAATATTTATTCATGCACGTTTTAAGGTTTTATCTTTCTCACCCATTTCCTGGTTAATTCCAGGACACTCTGTCGGGTTATTCCTGGGAGTATGATACCATCCAGAGGTGGAGTTGCAAGTTCCTCCTCTGAAAATAAAATATGTTCATAAACAGAGCAAAAGAAAACGTACAAATTGTTAAGGCAAAAAATGATTGAACTGGAGATGCTGTGTCATTATGCTGTAGTGACATTGTTCTGCCAGTAGAGGTCACATTTGTAAAATGTTTTTTTATCTAAAGCACATTACATAACCTTACTATGAGTCTACAGCACAGCAAAAAAGCCTGTGATTGACCAAGTTCTAGTGTGACTAACCCCCATCCTCGTTGATCCAGTACAGGAAGATGTTCATGGTTCCTGCCTCAGTGATCTGGTGGTCCTCTCCATAAAGCCACAGCACCTGCTGACACCCATAATCCTGCGCTTCATACTGGGCAAACAAAGCACCTCCGTAGTTCCTGCAGAAATCCACAGCAACAGTTACAATTAAGTAATGCAGCATGATGCTCTTCGTCTTTAAATTTGGTGTAATTTGTGCAAGGACACAAGCATATTTTGTGTTTTTTGGGAGGGCAGAAGGATCAAAAGCTTGATTTCTCTGCACCTTACACATACCTACCACGTGCGCTTGAATGATAAAGTGTATAAAACTAAATAAGAATATTGATTTCATGTCAGAAACAACATTGATATTTTCAACAATGAATGAGTCTAGTGCTAAAGATTTTTCACCACTTGTCTTTAAGGATTCAGCACCCAGATATTGGAGTTGAGTGCATTGATTGATTATCAGTGAATAAAAACTAAACATGCATACAGTATGTGTCTACCCACCCTCCCATCTTGCAGTCTCCAGTTCCTCCTTTCCAGGCCCGTGTGAACTTTGGGTCAGCCCATAAGGACACGGCCTGTGTCTCGGTGTTGAAGTAAGGGCACACTTGACACAGGATCACATACAGCAAGGCATGGCCGGGCTTCATTATAGCCAGAGAGGGCTACCATGGGCACACAAACACATAGGGGTGCATTTTAAATTTGACATAATAAAAGATTTTTAAAAAATACCTCAACAAATGAATGCAGCACTTCATGATCCTCCTTACCTCAGTGCCAATAAATGTTGGTCTGATGTACAGACTAACAGAGTCGGAGCGAGGAACCCATTCCTGTTCAACCTCTACCAGTTGTCTGATACACTGCAGAAACTCTGACTGATCAAAGGCCTGCAGGAGGTAGGGGGGTGGAGAAAGAGAAAGATAAGGAGAGTGGAGGTTGAGTGGCTGAAAATAAAAGAACGAAGGTAGCTATGGTACTTAGATGATCAGAAGTAGAAGACTCAGTTGAAGTTGTAGCTGAGGTTACATTTTGAAGGCAAAAACAGTCATTTGTTCATCACTGCCACCTATCCTTTCATCAGTCCATCCATTCATATCTCCATTCATTCCTCACATCCATCTTACAGGTAGACAAGCTCTCTTGGCAGAGTTGGACATGCGGCTCATGTTGAGCGTCGGTCTGAAGAGACGCAGCTGGTTGTCATCACCACGGTATGCCTTCATTCCCTCAAAGAGCTGGTGAGAAGAGAAGAAACATAAAGAAAAAGTATATTTGAATTTTAAATACATTGAGCAACCCAGAGGAGGATTTCCTGAGCATGGAGTTAGTTAAGGGCCATACTGTAGCAAGGATTTCAAAAATACTGAGGTCATGAGTTTTGAGTCCATATTTTAAATCCCAATAAATCGCATGGTCAATTATATTTGCTTAAAATTGTATTTAAATTGAGCTGGTCAGGTGCCTGGTTAGCTCAGTGGGTAGAGCTGGCGACCCATGTACTGAGGCTGTGTCCTTGCTGCAGTGGCCCAGGGTTTGAGTCTGACCTGTGGCCCTTTGCTGCGTGTCATCCCCTCTCTTTTCCCCTCTTTCCTGTCTGTCTTCAGCTGTCACTATCATAAAGGCAATAAAAGTCCCCAAAAATACTTTAATAAATTAAAAAAATAAATAAATTGAGCTGCTCTTTCAAGAAAATTCTTCCAAACGTCAATAACTTGTTAAAATCAACTAAACTAGAAAATGATTAGGAAATAACAAATCCATAAAATAATGTATTACAGTTTTTTTTTTCCAAAGTGAAGGTCTGAATGCTGTTTCAAAACCCTCTCCATGCTGCTTGGAATACAATTCTGGTGGAGAAAAACGAAATAATGTATTTATTTAATGTCATGCAAGTATTAAAATGTTAACATATTGGGTCTAAAAATAGTTTACAAAATAGTTCAATGAATAAAAATAAAAAATAAAATAAATCCACACTGCACTGCAATATCAATACCATTAACAAACTTGTGCCATTTATATATAAATTATAAATTCTCTTTGGTTTTATTCGGTTTTGTGGTAGATTCATGTTTTAGATGGGGTAATAAATGTAATCAGTTCAGTTTAGGTGGCTAGTGATCTTTATGGGAGGGGAAAGTATGCTAAGAATTTGTTAATAAATCACAGTGTTCTAAACCATTGTGTTGTGGAAGGCCTAAGGCCTTGGGATGGGATTTAGAAGTGGTACGGTTAGGAGGTAACCAGGTGATCTTGGAGATACTGGATGGTATATAAGGAAGATCATCCGGGAGTCTGGAGAGAACATCTATCCATGCTGAATGAATAAAGGGACTGGATTCATCACACTGGGTTTGTAATCCTTCAGAGAACTAGCAACTCTCAATGTTTTGAAAGAATTTCTTCTACAGTTTCATCCATCATGCATTTGGTGCAATGTGATATTGTGTTTTTATGGGCACCTGTGCTCAACTTCATATTTATTCATTGTTTTCCATAAGTAGTTAGCATGGATAGTAAATCCATTTTAACTAACTTAAAAGTAAGGGTAAAGTTTGAACCCTTCCCAGCAAGTGTACCTGTACACTGTAGTGTAGTGACGAACAGGCTGGGTGGAGTGACAGGTTCTCAAAGGGCTTGATGACTGGAGCCTGCCAGCCCTCACTCTCACTCCATTCTATGGTCAGCATGTGGTCAGTGAAGACAGCCCCGTAGTCGAACTCATCCGGTTTTCTCTTTAGAGAGGAGGACAGCTGGATAACCAGGTCCGAGGCCTGGTTTAAAAAAACAAAGAATGGAACGACAGGGAAAATAGTGACATTTTAGAATAAACCTGAACATTTTAGGCAAGAATCCACCAATATCAACATTTCAATTCATGGAGCACTGTGTTCACATTTCATCCAATTATCACCCCCGAAAGGTTTCCTTTACTAAACCTTTAGTTTCTTTTATTAGGTTTATGCAACATGGAATATAGTGGCATGAGGTCACACACACGATTACACACTCAGAATCAATTGAAATAGACATGACTTTATTTCTAAAAAGCGACTGGTGACAAATTTAGCGACTTATTCAGCCCATCAGGGAAAGGGTAAGACATATATTCCCATGCATTAATTATCATGCATGATGCTCAGAGTAATAGCAGTTCACAGCTCTTCTGCCAACAGCGCCAGGGTGTCTCCCTCTCCTCTTGTGCCGTGCACAGGCAGTCAGTAAGGTGTGGCAGTAGGGCACGTTTGACCTTCTCTCTACCCTCTCTCTCCAGATCTCTGGATTAGGGCGTTCCTATAGTTTGTATATATGTATATAGTTCATTTGACCTTCTTTCTCACTCTTTCTGTCCGGGTTTTTGGATTAGGGTGTGGCCTAAAGCTTATATGTAAATACTGTGTTTGAGCTAAATATTTAAATAGTTTGTTTGATCTTCTCCCTCCCTTTGTAGAGGGAACGTTTTTAACTTCAAATATAAGATGTCCTTGTAATGAGTTTGTGATTATTTGGTTAAATAATAATAATAATAATAATAATAATAATGTTCAGTGTGTGTGTAACTAGATTTCCATACATGTACCAATCAGAAACAGGTTTGCATTTGCACTGCAGTTTGCAGTTATAAATACTTCATAGAATATAGAATTTGGGAGACTAAAGTTCATTTGGAGCCCTGCCTGTGTTTGGCCAGCAGAGGTTGCTGTAACATTGACAGTGTGCCAGGCTAATTCAAAGATTGCCACAAACAACATGAGTCACAGTTCACCTCTCAGTGGTCACCAGACAACAAATCGGTGACACTGTAACATCAGTGACAGTAAGGCATACAGAAAGACACTGTAGAGACAAACAGGATGATATTCATGTAAATTTGCATTGAAGCTGTCTCTCTCAACTACCCCTTTTATTTGTCAAAGTTCATGTTAAGATACAGAATATAAAAGCATAATTTGCACTGAAGGAGCTTCAATCTGAGTCATCCAGTCTCTGAGTCCATTATGTCCCCATACTGCTTTTATGGCGCTACAGTAACAGCAGGTTGAGAAATATGTGTCACATTTATCAAGAACAAGTGTTGTCTCGTCCTGCTGTTCTGCAAGACTGAGTTATGTCCTTCTTTTAAAGAGGCACCTCTTTCTGGTATGACATTCAGTGAGTTATCTGTTCCAATTGGCTGGGATTAGACTGGCTCTTCATCCCCTCCCTCCTGGTGCAGAAGGTTGCTTGCGCCATAATCCCAGATTACAGTACAGGAAGGTACAACAGCGTGTGAAAGTGGTCAGAGTAATGCATTTTTTAACGTATTTTTTAACATGCCACTGATTATCTTTGTTACATCAAATCCCTATATAAATATCAATATACTTTTTTAGAGTTTATCTTTGTATTTTTTTTACATTCTCCAAACCGATCCCAACACTTATCCTTGTAAGTGTGCTTGTGTGTCTCTACAAATGCCCCCCTTAATCCCTACCTGAGCCTGCTGTCTACTGCTCAGGTGTTCAGGGTCAGAAAACAAGCAAAGCTCCAGCTACTTAGCGTGAGCTGGGGAAGTGGATTCTGCTGAGCAGGCTGCCCCAGGAGGGACGACGAGTACAGGTGTGGACACTGGTTGTGTCCTTACCCCCAGAAATGGCCACATAATGGATGAGTTGAGAGCTAAATCAAACACCGTTAGAAATTCTCGATCCGGTTGACACCAAGTGAACTTATACTTATACTGGTGTGTGTCCATTGGATTCATTTTTCAAGTGTTTTTTTGGTCACAGTAAGGACAGCACTGAATGACTGTGGCTCTCAAGGCCTTTCAGTGCTGCTCTTGGCACCATGAGGACAAGAGGCAGTGCTGGAATATCTTCTATGTGGTGCAACAGGGGGGATTCTTAAGTGTCAGGAAGCCAGGGGATCATCAAGATGCTGCAGCTGGAGCAGCTACTGAGGGTAAGTGGTCTTAAATCATAACGGCATTTAGAGAACAGACTTTACTAACATCCCCTTAAGTTTAGCATATATGCATTCTGCAAACAAAACAGCCACAATATACTAAAATAACTTGTTTCAGTACCTTAAAGCTTGGGATGATGTTGTCAGCCATTGGAGTGGTGGGAATGAAGCTGCTTCCTGAAAACCATTAGAAATATTTTAACATTACAGTGATGACTTAAATGTGCACTTTTTTCTTCAAAAACAAATTTACAAACATTAATTAGTAACTGCGTACAAATATGTGTTAGCATTGCATAAGAAAGGTATTACAGGAGGGGTATGACCTGCTGAACAGCATGCAGTATCTAGTATCCAGCATTGGTGAAGCCTTTCCTCACCTCACATTATTGATTCAATCTCCTGAGTTCACATAATATTTTCTCACTACATAATGCAAAGTTAAGTCAATGTGGAAATGGGTTTTGCTCTATGTAACAATTTGTTTTATTAATAATATCAATACAGCTCTTTTGATTTGTGGCTGCACACTAACCACTGCTGTGTTTAACATTGTACATTCTACACTTTATCAAATCTATTTCTAAGCAGGTGTAAACAGAAATAGGCCTTGTGATAGAATTGCTGTATATCATTGGCCTTCACAAACGAATGGTTTTACATATAAGACAACATTTCACATAGGAGCCTTAAATATGTGTCAATAACTTGGCTGTTTTAATATAGGATATTAATAATTTATATTTACTCTTACTGCCAGATTAAAGCACAACCTGTGTTACCAATATATACGTAGTATAGTAGTCAATATAGTAGTTATACGTTACCTTCAGAGCAGGAGAGACGTCTGACCCAGAGGTTGCTGTGATGATATTTAAACCGACTGTGCACCTTTAGGTCCTCCCTGCTACCCTTATAACCCCTAACCTTATATATACTGTCAATGCTGCTAACCAGTATACTCGCTCAGGGTGAAACCCCTCCCCATTATCGTGCTGTCATGACACCAAACATCCAAATTAACCCAATTAACATTTAAACACCACTGACCATCTGACCCATGTCTAATAGGGAATTTGTGTTTATTTCCTGTTTAATGTAACACTGCAATATGGCACTTTTCTCTGTGAGTCCGGTGCAGAGCGAGTAGGCTTGTTATACATGAGACACTAACAATGGGAACACACTCAAAATCATTTTGAATTTATTGGACTTTTAACATCACAGCAGCATACATGCGGAGTTGCAGCCTGTTATATCGGGTGCTGTGTCCCCCTCAGGTCGCAGGGAGGGGGTGCTGGCTCATTTTTAGAGTCGTGAACACCCGCGGAGCTTTTAACTCTCTCTGTCTCGAGCGCTGGGCTGTAAACTACCTGTGCGCGTGCAGTCTGTGTGCGAATGGACAGTTGGCCAAACATTTCGTCGCGGATATTTGCTCGTACAAGCTTTACAAGGTAACAAAGATGTATATCCTGCTAGCACACCAAGGCAGTTTGAGAGAGTAAACACAGACCGTGGCTTTCTTAGACTTCAGGTGGTCAGGTGCGTTAGGTTTGTATAGACCTAAATGTGCGCTCGAGTCGTTTTTGACGACATTTCAAAAAAATAAATAAAAAATGTTCCTGTAGTGTGACTGTCGTAGCCAGGCACTTTTTATTTGCTACATATTTAAATACGTTTGTTTTGCTTATTTTTTGATAAAATGTCGCTTTTCCTAAAAATGTACTGTAAAGAAATTAAGTGTGCTATCCATGTTTCAGATTTTATTTTAACTACCGGGAGTTGTGTTAGAAAATGAGACGTATATTAAACTGGAATAAATGATATTGTGTGTAAAACTGGTAAGCTAACTGATTAATTAGCTTGGTTGCACACCTGGAGCCTGAGTAGGCGCTCCTTCGGATTTGAACCCATTTGCTTTAGTCTTTCAGAAGTCACGATTTAAAATCTGAAACCTTGTGGACTGGTTTTCATGTATACTAACTTGTATAGACTCCTATCATGTAGTGTTTGGTCCTTTTTTTATTAAGCTGTTTGTGTGATTAGGGAGGTTAACATTTGTCTTTATCTCTTTTCTTTCCTCTCCATCTTCTTTCTGTCTTCAGTCCTTTCTTGCCTGCTTGTTTTAGAGTTCTTAACACAAGACCTCATGTCTATGATATCTACTGAATCCATGCCAAGGGTCCTATACAGACTGAATCTGCCAGTTATACAGTACATCATAGTGTTACACTATGCTATGCAGTGTTGGGGTTCCACTATGCAAAATAACCATGGCCCCTCAGTGTTTTATATTTCTATATTCTTTTAAATAAACTAAATATTTTCTGATTCTCTCTCCTCAGACTTCAGCCTCTCCTCTAGCCAGGAAGCCAGCACTGCAGCTCTGCCTTCAGCAGCATGGAATATTACACGCCGCAGCCGAATCGTCGCCACAACCCCGTGGACAGCATCTGCCGCAAACTGCAGACCATTCAGTGGCGTGGTGATCGAGAGCCCAATTCACCGTTCCAGATTCCCAAACTCTCCTCCAGCAGTTACGACAGCCCACAGTGTGGCCTCAGGCACAACCTGGAAGCCATCCTGAAGAAAGGGGCCATCCACAGAGACGAGGGGGAGAGGGGGAAGGAGAGAGCAAAGGAGAAGGGGAAAGGGAAAGGGAAAGGGATGGGAATGCCGAGCTCTGCAGCCTCCCAGAGGATCAGCCTGGGTCCCTCGGTCCCTCTGTCCACCCCTTCCACCCCTGCATGCAATCCCTCCATGCCAGCTAACGTCACATACACTATCACTAGCACTCTGGGGGAGAGGAGAGGTGCTGATGGGAGTGATTTAAGACAAGTTAAGACATGGCAGAGGTCCTGTTCTACACCCACGGGCCAGTCCAAAGACTCCCCTTACTTTACATTTACACGAGGACCCCAGTCGGCGCAGCCTGAGAGTGAGAGGCCGAGCAGGAGCCCGCCTCTGTCTCGTACCTTCACCCCAAACCACAGCACGCTCTCCTACAACCTCAACTTCTGCTCAGCCGATACGGGGAACTTGGATTGTGAGCTGCCCTACCCCGCTCTGGTTGTGAAAAGACTGTCCATGGGAGATGGAGGTATGGAGAAATGTCTGCTGGTCAGCTGGGGATGTGCAAGTTTTTGTAGCAGCGTACTTTCAGCGAACACAAGATGGATTGAGTGTGAAAGTTCATTCATGACCTTGGGGGGAAAAAAAACCTAACTAAAGGCCCACTTACTATCTTTTTTCAGAGCTTTTAGGGAGATTTCATGGCCTTCAGCAGCTGATAGTTTTTCCTTGTTGTCCATCCACTAATAAGGTGTGAGATGCAGGTGCAAGCTCTGGAAAAAGTGGACCTCAAGTTAACATTTTTTTTGCATAAACAAAATTGATTATTTGGTCTTAACTTCAGTTTATAATTTAAAGCTGCAAAAATCTGATTCCATTGACTTGTTCTAGCACTTCTAATGGCATTTGCAAGGATCCACCGTGCCTGAACAAAAATAACCAATCAGACGAAAGAAAGAAAGACACTCTGGGTTGGTGGCTTTGTTGAGTCTCATTCCCAGGTTGTCAGATACTGATGCTGGGAATGAGACTCAACAATCAACTATCTTTCTTGGCTCTGATTGGTTGTTTTCGTGCAGGCCTAGTGGGTTCTTGCAAATGCCATTAGAAGTGCTAGAACAAGCCAGAGGAACCTTTTGTGTATTATCTGTCTCATGTAGTAATGGCAGAATATAATTAAGGTTAATTCAATTTAAGTTATTTTTATAAAACTTACCTACTTAATATTGGAACCAGCAAGAAATGCTTGACATGCTGATTCCTGGACAGAAAGTTTAGGTTGAAGATCTAAAGGAGGATGGAGAATGCATTTACTTTATAAAATAGATAGATAGATATACTTTAATGATCCCAAGCTGGGAAATTGCAGTGGAATGGAAATGGAAGAATGAACAGACTTACTACAAACAAAAACATGAAAATTCCAAATTCCAGTCTATGTTTACTTCCAGAGAAACAACATTGGTGCTGAAAAGGTTACAAATATAAAAATCATAGGCTTCAAAACTCCAGGGGCCACAAAAGCTCCAAATTCAGAGTTGATAAGGGCCTTAAGATGAGTTCTGTCATGTCTTAAAGTCTGTTTTGATGATCCTTATCCTATATGTAAATAGTTTGTTTGACCTTCTCGTTCACTCTCTTTCTGGATTAGGGTGATCCTTTAGCTTATTTGTAAATAGTTAATTTGAGCTTGTAAATATTTAAACGTACTACAAGGAGTTTTTTGAAACAGTCTGTTAATGAATTTAATACTGATGCCTCCATATGACCTACATAAACAAACAAGACCATCAGGGACAGGATTGGCTATTTCTATACAGTTATTCCTAATCCTCACCACTGGGTCGCATTTGGTCTGATTTTCCATTGAAATCAATGAAACAAGGCGGTAGAAACACTACTACTTTTGTGGCAACCAGAATCCAATGAAAGTTCCTTGTAGGAGCTTTAAACAGTTTTAGTATTTATTAACCTTTTTTTACCTTTTTACTCATTTCAAACATACGATGTCCCTGTAGTGAGTTTGTGATTAATTACCATCACTGTATACCTATCAGGAACAGTTTGCAGGGATGTTTTTTTGCGATTAAAATGCACTTTTAAAAAATATTATAGGCTGTGTACTGATATATATCATTACAGTTCTAACACAGATGTTCCTTCCTTTCTGACTGTAACAACTTAAATGTTGTTGTAAAAAACTAAAAAACGAATAATGAAAAACTGATTGTGGCTAAACACCTAGGATGATTTTGAATTTTTATTCAGATATAAGTGCAGGGGACAACTAGCAGAACTTCTATGGCAGTCCAGAGTGAGTCACTGAAGTGATGCAAATGACTGAAACAAAGTTATTAAACTATACTTATTATCGTCAATTTGGGACAATTGGTTTTTAATCTTGGGTCAGTTGAAAGTAGAACTTGGGATCGTTGCAGGACACTGAAGAAAAAGGTTAATTTCAAGCCCTAGACTCAGGCTATCATGATGTTATTAGTTGCTGTGCCTAAAGGAAAATGTATCATGTGCTTGCTTTGCTCTGCAACTGAATACACTGTGTATTTGGTATGCTTGTGTTGCATATTCATGCTCAGGATCCTCACTGGCCTCTGAAAACAGGAAGGAGAATATGGCAGAAATCAGCCTCATCTGTGAGGAGAATCTGCTTGATACCATCTTCCATGCCTGTGATACACAACGCCGAGGTACGCCCACACACACCAGTCACATGGTCACTAATGGTTGGGTCATGCATTTCAGTCTTCCAACAAGCTAAATATGGCAGCCTAATGATAAATTTTAACTTGTCAATATAGTATGACTGTTTTTCGGCGCAGAGAGTCACACAATATCAGCGTTGTCTCTTGTGCCTCCTAGCAATGATGACACAAATCTGCTCCTTTTATCTCTGTATCATTCAAGTTTTCTCATCTGTTCAGATACATTTTTAATGCTTTTCTGGAGTCATGCATCTTGTGTGGCAGGGTAGCGGAAGAAGAGAAGACCATAACCATTTTTGTTCTTTTACCTTCACCTCAGGATTTGATTGCAAAAAAATAAAAAATGACTTAAGTCTTCAGCTAAAATGGGATTCAGACCTGATAGGTCTGATCTAACTTCATTAGATTTTGAATGTGTTTAATGGAACTATTTCTGTGGAAACTGAACAGTTTTGGGTAACAGTACCATATGTAAACATGTGAAAATGGTAGTAGATACAGTATGTGGAACTTTTCCAGTTATTGGGGCGAAGAAATTATTCATTCAATTTGTAAAGCTGCTGCCATTGAATGCATTCCTGTCAGAGGAAAGAAAACTAGTCCACAGTTTTGACTCCTGCTGTGATAACTGTGTGAAGTCTGAAGAATAAAAAATAAATAAATAAATAAAATATTGAAGTGAAACTAACCACAAAAAAATGTAAGCGTGATTCTTACTATCACTATAGTTAATGATTTTGCTGCCTACACAAAATAAATCTTGTAATGTATTGACAACGCAGTTCTAGCAGGGTATACTTTTTATATTAAAAGTGTCTGTTACTGTCATCTTCCAGGTAAAGTGTACGTGTCTCACATTGTAGACTATTTGCGGCACACCACCAGTCGCAGCTCAGAAGACAGTGGACTGGAGGAACTTTGCAACATGCTCGATCCAGAGCACAAAGACGTTTCCATAGACCTGGACACATATCACGCCGTCATGAGGGAGTGGATTGATGATTGCCGCAACAACGGGTACTGAAAAGCAGACATTCTGAATTCTTGTTTTGTTCATATATGTATATGAGCCTTTATTTAGAATTTAGAATTTTCAACGTTTTTAAGTTCAGGTGTCTAGTTTTTGAGAGGAAAATATTTAAATGTTATGCACATGTGGTTTAAAATGAGACTTTGAGGTTAAGGGTGGGTAGCTTGGTGAGCGATCATCCTGGAACATCTGAGGTCAAACTCTTGGCCTTAAGCAAGATGAATCCAGCAAGAATCCAGGTCTAGCTGTGCTGTTCATGCTGTGTCCTTCCTATGTGTGGATGAAAGATAACATTTTAATCATTTAGGCTGTCAGTAGGGAATTATAAATCAATAGTGAATTCATTTTTGGATAAGATAAGATTTCTGCTGGCACCGTTTTCGTCTGTTCATGTTTTTGTCTTGCAAGAGAGAGAGTATTTTAAATTAAAGGTGTGAAAGTTGAAGAAGGTTTCTTGGTGGAGCCCTGAAACTGTAACAGTTTGTGCAGTCATTTGTTTCTTTTTTTGTGAAAGTGAGAGGGACAAAAGGACAGAAGGCCTTCTTTTTTGCATCTTTTAAAATAGAATTATGACCAGATTTTTGACAAATGGTTGTTGCTGTCTTTTTTGTGTGAGACCAAATAATAATTAGTAATTTGGCTGCACATATGTGCTGTTTCCTTCTACAAAGTTGTAGTTGCAGTTGCACCGTCTTTACCAGTCCTGTGCTTGCTTTTTAGCCTTTCATATACTGTTTTTGAATTACGCAAGTAGATATTGTGTAGGCGGGTTACGCATCAGATGAGAGATGGTGAGAATTTTTTTCCCTCTTAGTTTAAGCTGTGTGCATCTTGTCTCTTGTCTTGGAGGCAGTTGTGAATCACCAAGTACACTCTGTCAGGTCTATATCAAATGTGAATTTTACACCTATGGTTTAATTTGATGTGACTCACATAGAGGATTAAAATTGAAAGTCTAAATGTTTAATCTTCATGCCATATTATTTATCTCTTATGCAAGTGGTCATTTTGACAAATCTGTGAGAGATGATGCATCTTGGCGTTATGTTTGGGCTTTAAATAAAGCTAACTGAGTAAACCAAAGGGTCCCTGCGTCAACTGTGGGTGAATATGTGCTTATATATATGAAGGGGCTAACCACACACTCTATTATAACTGAGAAATGAGTTTCAGACTGAGAGCTGACCTCTTGCAGTGCTTGGTGTGCCAGGCACCAAAAAATAAACACTTGAAACAGTTTCATCATTTCAAACATGTTTTCAGGAGCAACAGCATAGTGCATGACTGCCAAATCCTAGAAAAAGGTCATGAGAGTAATTGATTTTGCACATTTTGATGTTTGATATCTCTGTTGTATCTCAGGGAAGAGCCAACTGAAGACATCATTCAGGACTCAGTCAAACTCAGAGAAAGTCTGTGTGGTGAGTGTTCACAGATTCACTCATGTGTTTGCTTTTCATTTCCTTGTACTGTACCCACATCTAATTTAGATGACACCTGTGGCTGTACTATAAAGGAACCTACTCAGATAACACAGGGTTATCAGGAAAGTCCAAGTTGACAAACTGATTGCCCACGCTGGTGTACACGGTACTACAACAGGGATTATGATGTTAGTTATTAAAGTTGATGTCAACTTAATCTGAGATTGTGCGCATTCGCTAAAAGGATGTGTTCTGCAGTGCATTTTTTTCATAATGGCTCAAATTTGTTCCCAGAAGAGTGTACTAAGATAATATCGGGATATGAGCAGTTTAAAAGTTAACAGAATAATCTTACCGTAGTAGGGGCCAACAAAGACAGGGAGGATTGTTGGCAGTGCATTGTAGACAGAGTAAATTCATAAGTAAAATTACAGTGCTCCTGGTGTAGGTTCTCTATTTTTCTCTTACAGACTCTTCTTTAATTAGTGCTATGATTGAATACGTCAGCAGTAAATTTCCTAGATGGATGTGGTAACTTAACGAAAACGTATCCACCTTTCTGTAGTAGGAGTTAAGCTGGAAGTTACACCTGACATCAGAGTTACTCCTGAATATACCTGGATAAGCCAGTTATCTTGCTTCATAGTACAGCCCTCTGGAGCTTTAATACTCTTGGATCTGTGTGTTTTAGCCAAGAGGTCCATGCTGCTCAATATGACCTCAGGAAGCCTCGAGGCCTTTGGAGGGGAGGCATCCAGAGCAGAATTGTAAGTGACATGTGTGAATTAGTGTGAGTGTCTATGTTTGTGTAAATAGGAAATACAACACTTTTATTTTTGAAGGGGGAAGACTAAGAATATGTTTACACTGACAACTACAGTATCTTCTCATTAGCTTAGTACAATAAATAGTGTTTTTATTATTAGGCCAACTATCTGTTGCCTTCTTTTTAGTAACTTAGGTGATTAGATAGGTTCCATGGTTGCAGTAATGCCACTGCTGCAAATCATAATACTTTTAAGCTGCAAAACTAAAAACCCCTGGTAATAATCCACTTGACAAAAAAGATTATGATTCTCCAGAGGAAACAAAATTTGGACATAAATCTTCTGCTTTGATGGTGCTGGACCCAATAATTTCACTGTTTAGTTGGATAAGTTAGAATCTCTGTATGCAACAGTTTTCCTGTTTGCTGTGCAGAAAAGCATTTAGCTTTTAATAAGTATACCGTAACATCACAATGCCGCAACAACAACAAGTTATTATTGCTGTGCCAGATATGTAAATTGTGCACAGCCCCTCTTTCAATTTTGAAACACACAGTGATCCTGCTACTATGTTATGGCCACTGCTATTAAATAAAGTCAAAGAAAAGCAGCGTATATTTGTTTGGTCAGTGTGAGACACTTTCTGAAAGCAGATCGTTCAAGCCAAAAGGGGGAGAGTTGGCAAAGCTTTGATACTGAGATGGAGCTGAGCTCTGATGATGCCATTTGGATGTTAGGAGGTGGCACTCCGGCACATTTTAAACCTCGCACATATGTGTTTATCTGTTTCTCTCCTTAGTGAGACATCAGAGCTGGTGTATTGTGTTGCTGACCTTCAGATGAGCAACCAAAAGCTCCAGGAGGAGGTGAAGAAGCTGAAACAGGTGGTGGAGGGTATGGAAGACAGCAACCAGAAGCTGGCAGAGGAAAATGAGGACCTACGCAATCAGACCAGGGTGTAAGATACACTTGCATGCAAATACACAGCACAGATTTATTGTAGCAGTGGTTTGTAGATTTCCATGTCTGTTAATCCCCTTGCACAGTAACCAGCAGCTGGCTCAGAAGGAGAAGATGCTGAAGGATGAAGTGGAGGAGATGAAGGCCACTCTGAGCTGTACGGAGGAAGGCAGAGCTCGCGCCTCCGCACACAGCAAATATGTGGTCAGTCAAACTCAGACAGCACAAAGATGATATATAAAAATGCATTTGGCTTGCATGTTGAGGTGCATACAAATAACATGCATCTGTTGTTTTCTTATAAGGGCTTCTTACACAATGTTTAGACATTGTAGCTGAAATGTATTGTATTGCAGTCAGTCAAAGCATTCAACTATTGCTGACCACATTTGAAATAAGATTTAAAATGCTTGGCACTCAATATAGCCTTGCAAAACTGTGCCACTTTCATTACTTCTTGTGGCTGGAAAATAGAGCCATGTCTTTTTTTCTTTTGTATTGCATTGCAGGGATTTGATTAGACAATCGCACGCTATTCCAAAGCAAAATGTTTTGGAAAATCTTGTGTAATTTATTTTCATGTGTTTCTGCCTTAAGTTTTTGTACATAGGATTTTGCAGCATGCAGCAATTATGTATAAAGGTAAATGTGGTTGCGTGTAACAACAAATTTTACATTATTTTAAGGAATTTGTTTTGCAGTCAGTGCAGTCACATTGTCAGGTTGTGATAGAGCAGAAATTTTAGGACTGAGCATTCATTTCCATAGTTGCTATTGATTGTTTTTCTTCTTTTCAGGAGAGAGAAAACCAGAGTCTCATTGCCAAGATTGCTTCTCTTCAGGAAGAGGTACTTCACTTTCCAAAGAGGACTGTGGTCGGAGGAGTTGACAGTAAAATCAATGACTTGACTTCACAGTGAACCAGCAGTACTCACCCACTCATACAGCTTACAGAGAGTATATTGTTACAAGTTTTCTCATAAAAGGATGTGACCAGCTGCCCCAACTCCCCTTTGCTCCCCAGAACTTCAAGGTCACCATGGAGACAGACGAGCTTCAGAGGAGAATAGCAGAGCTGTGTGACATTAACGCTGACCTTCAGGTACCTTTTTAATATCTGGCCATTATCATTTTTATATCTTGTTCTGCATTATTACATCCCATCTCTGCCTTTCCAGACTACCCTCACACAGTGTCTTTCTCTAATTCTTTCTTCCTCACCCTCAGCCATTTTTGAGTGTATATCTGGCCTACTTCCTCATAAAATAACCTTAGTATTGTAAATCTGTCTCAGGCACATTAGAAATACTGTGTCTACTGTATTCCCATTGTACTGTGCTTTCTTTGTATTATGTAACTGCCCTTTCCCCGTCCTCAGGTGCAAATTCACTCTTTTGATGCTGTCGTCAATGAAAAGGAAGCTGTGATACTGGAGGTCAGTACCTTATTATATACATATATCCATGTTACTATCACTATAAAGCTATTTGTGGCAGTTATGATCATTCTATACATTAAATAGCTTGAATCCAACACTTCAATGCAAAAACATGTACAGTCTAGCAATCGTTTTGCTGATGATAAATTAACGGTAAGGGCAACTTATTCTTGTCCTCTTTTCTGTTACACTAAAAAACTCAAACTGGTCTTGTGTCTTTTACCTCCTTTTACAGAAAAGCAGACTGATAAATGAGCTCAAGTCAGCAGTGGAGGAATACTCGTCCATCACAGAGGTCAGTGAATTAAAATATTTTTTAGTTTCTACGTATCAACCCCATCTTCTTTCTCTAAGATGCTCTTTTACTGCTTTCACATGTAGCAGATCTCTTTGCTTGCTATTTCCTCATGCCAGTGCAGCCATTTTATATGCTCCTTACAAACCATTTTGTCTACTTCCACCACTTTTTAAGCTGAAATTAGTTGGTAGAAAATCAAATAGTGATTTGATCAGTAAGATTTGAAAAGAGTCACCAAATAAATTGGTCATTTTAAAAGCATATCCAATGTCTTAAGTCTTGAAAACCAAATAGTAACAAATAGATTATAAATATTGACCATAAAGTTAAAGTAGTTATTTTCCGAAATGTATATGAATAAATACGTAAATGTAATATTCTTGCACACAAATGTCAGCATTTTAGCATACAGACAATTCTGTTAGGTCCAGTGTGGTACAATTATCAGCAGTTGACTTACCGACTCTGGGAATTAAATCACCTGCTGTCCTTCCACACACAGGTCTGGTGGTCAACAGGTTTGTTCTAGTGGGGGAAAGGGTAGGCAATGTAGTTGCCCTCTAAATAACTGATGTCATAGACTGAGTCATGCTGGTGTCTCTGTTGATTCTAGCTGCTGAGGGCAGACAAGAGCAAGCTGGAGACCCAGATGCAGATGATGCACCCGGACCTTGCTGGGTAAGTGAACCAAGAGTATCCTGGGGGTGACCGAGTGATGGGGTTTGAGATATTTGAAAGGTTGAGGGAATACTAATGAAAGTAGACACTGGTCACCTTTTATTTTTCCACACTATTAATGTATACTAGAGAAACCCTCGAATCCACAAACTGTATCTTTTATAATTAAACCTTTTTGAGTTCTGCATGTTCAGCTCTTTAATTAGAAAAGGTGGTAATCGGTCTTTGTTTGTAATCACCTGTTCACCCTGTCCTCTGGTCTCTCACAGGGCTGGTCTGTCTCTGTCGGTGGCTTACAGGTTGAACCAGAGCAGCTCAGGATCCCTGCAGACAGAACTGGCTCTGGCACAGTCGCCACTGGAGGTCAGCACTCCCTTACTCTGTTAGTCTTTTTCATTTGCTAACCTTTTCTTTTATGCTATTTTTTTCTCTCTCCTTGTTCCTGTTCTCATTCTCATATTTTTTTATTCACCTATTCCTTCTCTCATTATGTTTTACATTCTGGCATTTAATTGACAGAGAATTCATGGCTGTTGCACCTCTTGACATCTCCCTTGTAGCAGCCAAACTGTTGGCTGCAACACATATGCACCATACATAGATACAACATTCACACTAACCAACCACTTCAATAGACACAGCTGGTTTTGGCAATGTTATGTAATCTGAGTTTATAGTGCCTGTGATCCCAGCTGCAGTTCTGAGAAGTTTTATGCCTACAGGCAGGTGATTCATCTGCAGCTTTTTCTTCCATAGACTGTAGGGCTTCTCACATACTTCACACACAATGCAAAGCACTGTCTGAATGTTAGAGGCAGTTCTTCATGTGCTCTGAACTTCCTGTCTCTAATGATTGGACTGATGGTAACTGTCTTAAGTCTCTTTGATCATTTCTATATATTGGAATCTCCTGCAGGCCCCTAATGCAGTTGACCATTTGTCCACCACTATGAGCTTTGCCAGCTCGCTGGATGAAACACTGGACAGGGAGGTGTTGCTGATGCTGCAGGGGCCTAACCCTGAACACATGGCTCAGGAGTTCAAGAGCCTCCTAAACAAACTGGTAACCAAGTCTGATTAAGTGTGTGTGAAGACCTGCAGTTGGTCTAAAATTGACTTCAGACTTTAGATCGGTGACTAGTGGACAATTTGCATCTGTATCACAATCCCATTGTCCTATTCCATAAAATGTGGAATTATGTTATGTTTGACTTGCAAATGGTTGCTGTGACTGTAAATGTCAGTCATTTATACACAACACAAAACTAGTATAGCATCAGCTATAGCACATGCAAAAAAATATTAATTGTACCTTTTTATGTAAGGCATATTCATTTTTCAGTAGTTCCCATCTGTAGCTTCAGGTGCAGCCTAGTAAAAGCTAAAAAAGGCAACCTTACAGTTAACCAGGTTAAGATTGCTTAGGCCCTCACATGAGCTCAGAACAATTAGAATAGTGTGATGTTATGTTTATGAATGCATGTCAACATTGTTTCTGTCTCAAGCAATTGTGTCTAATGTTGTGCAAATTGTTGTCAATATATAACCTAAACTATTTTGCTCTCATGACCTGCTTCCCCTTTATGTCTCTCAGAAAAGGGATTTCACAGAAGAAACCGACTCTGTCTTGTCTGCAGTTAGAGGCTTGCTGGACAACCACGCACAGTCAGGGTGCAACAAAGACACCAGTCTCCAGGTCAGACCCACTCACACACTTTCACAGACACAATTCAGTTTTTTGTTCAGTGTCAGCCTACCTGCGACCCTAAGCTTAAGAAACGTTGCAGATTCACAGTGTACTGCAGGGTAAGAGCCTTTTTGAGAGAATATGCATATGGGTTGATTTCAGGCTGAAAATGGCAGTTTTAGTACTTAAATATATATGAATCATGACATTATGTAATGTGATTTCTATCTTCCTCTCCCTCCACCTGTTGCACTCTTTTTCTATCTATCATTGCCTATCTGCTCTTTCTCTCCTTCCCACCCACTATCTCTCCTCTCTAGAGATCTCTCACTTATATAACTCACACAGGCCCCATCCAAGCAGTGCTATTTAGTCAGTGTGTTGTACCATGAACACAACCCACTCCCCTCCTCCCTCACTCCAACTTTCTGTATCTCTCCATCTCTCTTTCTCTCTTTCCCCCTCCTCCTGCATTGTTGCCACTCTGCATTCATTAGCCACGTACTGCCATACAGCAGTAAACATACCAAATGAGACAGAAATTAGTGGAGCAGAGCTGTACCAGTACAAGTCAGTTTTCTGTTGGTTGTTCAGCATGCTGGCTGACATGAAAAGATTGTGTGTCAGTTAGGTGTCAGAACTTTTTGAAGGCGTAAAAGACGAGCAGCTACTCAGGCTGTGCATCACCCTGCGGCCTTTCACCCCTCGGCCTTGTTTTTCCACAGGCGGTGCAGGCCGAGCTGGACACGAGAAGGGCAGACTGGGCCATCAGCCTGGACCAGCTGGCCCAGTATACAGACTCGTTGGAGAAGGAGCTGATCAAAATGGCCAGTAACATGAGGAGGTCCCGCACTGAAATTCTTCACCTTTCAGTCAGGTGAGCAAATCTTAGTTGTCTGTACTGCCTGTACATTTTGTGGATGTATGTGAAAATCAGTGGGCAGTCAGAAACGTGTGAGCTGCTGAATGCTGAAGTGGGTGATGTTGTTTTGAGAATTTGGTATGAGAGCAGAGGCAGGTGAAAGAGAAATACCAGAGAAAGATGGGGGGGGAAAGATAGATTTGATGTGGATCTTGTGCTAGCTAATATAAAACAACTTGACTGTAAGGTAGGAAAACATTTCTTTGAAGTGGAGTTGCTCTTGTGCAGCAGTGATCTCAGTGGTTGAATTAAATGCTAGAAGGCAGAGCTAAAGTTTTTTTTAATTTTCTGCCTAAGTAATGTTATATTGATTCTACTGAAGAAGACATTAAGAGAGCTAGAAGCCAATTAAATCTAGCAGTGTAATTACTTACGGGGGAAAAAATGCAGGCTAGGCATAATGAACTATCAAGTTTAGCTGGTTAGTTTAGCTTCCATTCCAAGTCCATATAAGCCCATAGCTATAAGCTTGTTTGGGTGCTTGCAGAGTTTCCAGGATCTTAAATGCCACGTGGTCCTGAATGAATAAAAAAAAGAAGTTACTGGGAAGAGCTTGAGAGGATTTTATGCAACCAATGAAATTATTTCCATGAGAGGAGATCTGCCTGTTGGAGAACATTTCTAAACTTACAGAACTTCTACATGAATAACACCTTACATTACTTAATATCAGACCCTTGCAATGTGGGTTCTGCTCTTCATTGTTCTGTCTCAGTTGGCCAGTTAGTTGTGCTGAGTGGAGGAAGGACCTGTCAATCATCCTGACCTCACTGACCCCAAAGGGCCCGCCTCACTAGGTCTGGGTTAGGACTTCACTCTGACTCTCTGTGGATGGGTTTGCCTTGTGCTGTGTGTGTATGTGTCTGTTTGTATGCGTGTTCATGGAGACGGCCATCCCCTTCAGATATATAACTGAGTGAGTGTGGTACAGTATCAGACCAGAGAGGGGAAACTGGTCAGGCTGTCCAGCTGGGATTTACTGGTGCTCAGTTGCCAGGGTAAACTCAGGAACTGTATTATTGTTTGGGAGAAAAGAAAGCTGAAGAGGGTTCATTGTAAGTATAGTTCTGCCTCCTGCCCTGGAGTGTTTGGGATGTTCAGAGAAAGACTGGACTGTAAGTGCAAGGATCAGGGTTGTGTTGTAGGACACATTTGAAATTTTGTGTGTAGTCAGAGACTAGGGGGTCAGGCTGGGACTGGATATACAAAACCGTGAAGTGAAGAAACCGTTACTGGGCCAGTCGGAGAACTGGCGCTGGTCACCCTGGGCAACAGAATGGGACACTGCATGGGCCTGCGGATTGGGTACAGTATGTCCACTGTACTGTCTTCTAGGCTAAGATTTTCTATCTTTTGGGACAGTTTAGAGTACTTTGCGTTTTTACCACAAGTATCTTAGAAAACGAACAACTCCTCAGCTTTGTTTTCAAATGAATTTCCTATTGTTGCACGCAGGGTGCAGGAGCAGGAGAACCAGAAGCGGCAGCTGTGTGAGGAGCTGGAGCAGCTAAAGACTCCTCAGGACAGCAGAGAGGCCTCATGCCAGACACCTGCACCAGAGGAAGAGGTCAGAGAGGAAGGGATGACGGGTGGGCTGATCAAGGGGCTTAAATCTTTAAAACTATATAGCAGCACCTACTTCCTTACACATTCTCTGCAGTAATATTTTAATCTTAATCTGCCAGTATACATTGTTTTAGAATACTTAATAAATGTCTGTCTGGGAGATGAGCAGGATTGACTTACACTGACTAAATGTTCACTGGCATGAAAGTCATATTGGGTTAAAAATACATGAAAGTTAATTTCCATGTATGTGTTTTTGTATGTATTAACATTCAGTTCCCACAATAGAAGGATATTACAGGGCTTGCTTGGAGAGCAGTGACAGATCTCATACTGTATTCAGACAGATGGAGTATCTGGTAGAAGGGAGCTGAGTGCGAGTTGGCGGCAGAAGTGGACATGTGTACACACACACACACACACACACACACACACACACACACACACACACACACACACACACACACACACACACAGAGAGAGAGAATCAAATGTGGCCACACACCTACGCATTGCTCCTCGCACAAAATGCACTGAGGCAAACTTGAACATTTCCATTACAGCACCATTGTTGTCACTGCAAAACATAATGAGCACAGGATAGATTTGCATACAGTAAACAAGTGCTTTGACAAAAAATGCAGTTCTCACTTTGTAATCATTTATTTAGTATAGATCAGGGACCACCCACTAAAATTGTAATTCCCTTGGATTTGTTAATCAACAAATAGAACAGTATTAAAAAGAAACGTCTATAATCTGTTATTTTTTGCTGACAGATTTGTTAATGAGTGATTTCTGGAAAGAACAGTACAGAAAATCCACTTGTCAATCATGTGTCTAGTATTGTGTCATCTTTTTTTCAGGGGTATGTGTTGGAAAGTTAATTGCATTCTGTCTTTCTGTTTCTTTTTTCAGCCTGGAGATGACTTGGACTGGGATGAGGAGTTCGCCCTTCAAGACTTCCTGAAGAACGAGTTAGCAGAGAGGAATTGCAGAGAACAGGGTGGGCAAACGGACAGCAGACCTGTGGAGACGGTAGATAAATTAACAGACAGAGGGGAAGAGGAGGACGGGGAGGAGAAGTGGACGGTGGTAGACACGGCAGGAGAAGGAGAAGTTAGGGACACATCCACTCCTCTGTCTGCCCTCTCTGGGGAGGCCCAGCCTGGTCACGGTGCAGCAGGAGAGGGTCGAGGTGAGTGTGGGCACCAAGCTTGACAGAACGACTACAGGCCAACAACTCAACACTTCACTTTTTATCGCCAATGTTGTATAACTTGGAAAAAGTCTGACGAATATGATAAAAATACATCTCTAACTAAATAACTTAATTTAATGTAAAAGCTTAATGGATTATATAATGTAGATTTGGATGTATTCATAGAGAACAGCTAAATGTAATAATACTGGTATACTTCCATGTAGCTATTTATGTTGAATTGCCTGTCAGCATATTAAATATTTTGATTTTATCTCAGTAAAAGCTGAGTCTTCCTTGAGCCTTTAAAATCCAGTTTACACCCAAATTAGCTCAAGGCTAACTGAAACCTCCTGAAGCCACGCCAAATAAGGCTAAATGTAGTTTAATATTTTTGTAGCCACAATCTGACCCCTACTCAGCTTGTTCCTAGCTCTGAATCCATCTCAGTAGGATTAACAGTAGAAATAAACCTCATGCAGCAAGAATTTGAGCTAATATATCCTGCGTCGTCTTAACGTGAGACGACTGAAACTATAGTTTGAACTGTGAAAACTGTAATTTAATGGTTATTGAAATGTTGTAGATGTAGTACATGCCAATACAAAAGCAAGCTTATCCACATTCTTTGCTCTAGATTAGACATGTATTTGTTCATGCTTAGATTGAACATTTGTCTTTTCTAATCCACAGCTAATGTTAAATAAGACTGCCATCAATGGAGACAAGAGAATATGCTTGTTATTGGCATCCATTACTATCACTAGCAGTCTTTCTTACTCTCAAGTACCTATTGTGAAGCAAAACAGCCCAGTCTTTAGTCTCAGACCAACTAAATAAACATTGTTATGACTTTAAATTCACTCACACATCCATCTGGTGCACCAATTTGCAGGTTTCACTGTGTCTTACAAAGTGCTTCACAGGATAAACTCTAAAGGTGAAGAACGGATTACAGTTATTGTCTTTGAGTGTTGATTTGTGTGTGTGAGACAAAGCAAGAGTGTCTGGATTATCCCCCTGTAATCCATGGGAGTCACAGGGCACTCAGCCACCCTTGAAGCACCAGTACAGTGTATACACACACACACACACACACACACACACACACACTCACTGTAAGGATACACACAGTCTGAGGCCCCTGGAAGTAGACCCCTGCCTTCTATGGTTGTTGTGGCCCTGGTCTTATAAAGGTTGTGTGTGAGAATTGTGTGTGTGTGTGTGTGTGTGTGTGTGTGTCTCCACAGTATGTGAAATCCTCTCTTCCCCAAGGTCCTTGTATGGCCAGGTGTACGACGGGTCTGAGGCCACGAGTGAGCTCAGTAATCCCCAATTCCTTTGCTCGCATGAGCGGCTGGCAGGCACAGAGACATAAAATGAGAGTGTAAATGTGGTCATTAATGCCACCTTAGTCATGCATGGTATTTTAACCTCTCTGCCCCTCCCTCAGCTCAATGCCTTGCATAATAGACAGTCTGACCTTTTATAGTAAAAGGTGGGGTTGTACTTTTGGATGGTTAATGGATGATGAATTGGACAAGGGTTTGGGTTTTTAATGAACAGCGTCCTTGTTTTGTCCTTTTTTTCAGTCTCCTATTTCCTGACGTCATTTTTTCATGATTTATATTATATTTTTCTTTCCTTTCTCTGTATCTGTTACAGACTCTGGGGCCTGCACTGAGTCAGAGCCAGAGGTGAACTGTCAGTCTTTGCAGGTAAACTGAATTGTTTTGGGATTAGGTGCATTGTACTAGATGCTCACCATTTTTGGGATTGTGCCTGTGACCTTTTGTGTATTCCCCTTAACCTCTGTATTTTACTTAATTTTTCCCTAAATATCTTTCTTAAAATGACTCAAATTCAATGGCAATTACCTAAGTAATTCAACAATAAATTACTTCAATTTGTAACCTACAAATTATGATGATTATTATCCATTACACCTTTGACTAGTAAACTTCAGAAAACCTAATTGCTTTCGATTGCAGGATATAACATGAAATTGAAAGCTCATCTTGAACATCGTAAGTCTCCTCCCAGTGGAATGTTGTATAACTGTGTAACTTCATGACAGGCTAAAGATCAGTACTTCCTTCCTTGAAACAGATCTGTAAAAATATAGCCAAACTGACTTTAACTTCTAACCATCTTTCAATCTCTGGAAACCATATGTCTAAATGAGTATGTGGTTATCAGAGGAAAACATCAGTTTTGACCTTGTGGAAGCACATGTGCTTGTAGCTTAGTGCAGTGATTTCAGGACTGTAAAAATGCCCCTTACATTTCCACCTCACACACGCCACATGGTATTTTAAGCTTTGTACACTATGTTAAATGGGCTGATAATTTGTTTGACAAGCTAAAAACAATGTTTAGAATTAAGGATTTCAACTGAACTACACACACACATCTTCAAAACTCTGAAGTTGGATTAATATCAGATGGACTCTGATTTGGTAAAGATTGTGAAAGTCACTGACAGTTTGCTGGTTTGAATTTCCACACTTGCTGGGAAAATGTGCGTTCTCCCCCCCCCAAACACCTACTCTTGAGGTGCTTTTGAGCAAGAATCCCAGCCTGTTCAGAGGCCAACAATAGATGACTGTAGTTGTACTGGGCAGCTGCCAGGTGTCTTACTGTATGTCAGCAGGAAGCATGACGGTAACAAAACAGATTTGGTGCTCAGTTTACCTTCCTTGGATTAAATTAATACATTTTAAAATATTTGGCATGGAGATCTTTGCGTTTTTTCAAAACTATATTTTTCCATTGCAGTGGTGGGAAGGAAGTAGGAAATTTCTAAAGTTGGGATGTGTAATTCATCTCAGTGCACATTTAATCTGTGTTCTGTTCCATCCAATCAATCACACTTTTTGTCACACTTGTGATGTGATAATACAGTTACAAGTACGGACTCTTTTGCACACTCTTCCAGTTGGTGCATTCAAGGATGCTCTGACATATTAAATTTCATGTCATATATGGGACTGCCCTTAAACACACCATCAACAAGGAGGCTATAAAAACCCTGTCACTGTGATGGACCAATCTGAAGTCTTAAGTTGCTATAATGATTTTCCTTCTACTCTGAAATTAATGGAAAGCAATGACTGCCTTGAAGGTAGGAAATTATCTAAAATACTGGTTGGCAGTGTTGCCAAATATCTAACAATTTTATTATATGTTATTTTTCCTCCCTCTCTCCAAGCTTATGTACTCTCTCTATCTCTTTCTGCTATTTGCCTACCAAATAGCTCTTCACATATCATTGCTCATAGCCTCTGTTCACAAGCAGCAGTCTTCATGCTTGTGTTGAAGCTTTCCACTTCCTTACATAGAATGACAGTGATGAAAGGTCGGTAAGATTAAAAATAACCTGCTGATGTTATTGGCAAAAGAAAAGATTCCAATTAACCATACATGCTATACACTAAACTACACATTATGTCACTATAATCCCAATTCCTTGTCACACACTCTGATCTTGGAGGATATGTACTCTACTCGCAGTCCTCAATGCTTAATTCATGCCTGCAAGGTTTTTAAAACTAATTTAAACACGCTGCAGTCAGTGTGAAAGTGATGTTTGCTTTTGAATTCCTATGAAGATGACAGTAATTGGGGGTCTTTCCAAAAATCCATCACTGATGGAACAGATGCTTTGTGCTGTCTGTCAGCTGTTAGATTGTGTTGACTTCTTATGCAGTGTCTTCTAATCTGACAGAGATTTGTTTCTGTTGGCTGATTGTGGGCCTGCTGTTTGCTACATGGTTAATGTGTGTTGCTTATTTGATCTTTTCACCCCTTTCCTTTTTGAATATTTATAATTTTGTGTGTGTGTGTGTGTGTGTGTGTGTGTGTTTTTGTGTGTGTGTGTTTTGTGTGTGTGTGTGTGTGTGTGTGTGTGTGTGTGTGTGTGTGTGTGTGTGTGTGTGTGTGTGTGTGTTTCAGGAAGAGGCAGCAGTGCCATTGAGCGCCCACTCACAAGCTGTCAGCATTAGACACCCAGAGGCGGATGCTCTCCCTGATCTGTCCCACTCAGAGAACATCAGTAAGATCTCTGCCTCCCCACTCTCTGTGTAATTCACTCTCTGTGTGGATCACACTATCTTTGTTTTACTTTCTTCTCCCTCTACTGTCAGCTAGTCTACTGCATGTATTTACAACATAACCAAAGAATGAGTCATTTCCTGACTCACTTGGTATGTTCGCTATTTTTTGTTTAGAGGAGAGAAAACTTTACTAAATGTTGCAAGATAAAGGTCAAACTCTACTAAATACCACAGTATGAATACTGTTTTTCATTGTTTTTTTGATAATCCAGAACTCCATGACTGCTTTGTAAAATCATGTACTTAGTTGCTGCATTAGTGCTTGTAGTATCACATGCATCATATAACAGACACAGTTTTGGACTTGGTAAATCAATTAATATCCTTTTTGTGTTTATTGAATACTGTTGATTTTACTTTTTACATTTTCCATATGAACTTCGTGGAGGAAGACATGCTGATGGCCCACTGGTTTTCAAAATGTACACATTCACTGGGCAAAATAAGAACTCCTCCTTACATGACCGATGCTGAGCGTCAAGTAGCAGCCAAATAGCAACCATTTCAGACACTTTCAAAAACCTGTGCACTGCAAATACTCGCTTTGCGTGTGCATAATTAAAGAGTAATTTTATTGGCCTTACTTAATACTGAAAGTTTATTTATAGATTAAACCATTTTCCTCGTGTCTCAGCAGATGCAGAGGCTCCTGAGACTGCAGAAACTCACTCATGTGGTCCAGCCCAAAATCTGAACAACTCACCTGAAAGGGACCATACGGTCACACTTAATGATACCACTCCTACAGCAGCCGAGATGGTTCCTCCAGAACACATACCGGGCACATCACCTGGACCAGATGAGACTGTTACCCAGAGTAAGAGGTGAATGAAGAAATAAGTATTGTATTTGATAGATTGAGCACCTAATAAGTATTGGACTGCCTTTCTCCGTTGTAAATTATAATGCCAAATTAAGTATTACTTTAAAATATTAAAAAAAACAATTGCATTCCTGTCTGCCAGAGTGTATTTTTCGGTACTACCTCTAGGGGACGCCAAAGTTATGAATCTTATCTAGGTTATTTATTTGTGGTTTTAGCATATTTCAAAACTAGTTTGTTCCAGTCACTTCAAAAGAATGTAAAAATATAGGCATTGAGCAATTAAACAAATATGTCCCTTCATTCCTGCTGAGGGAGTGATAGTGAGGGAAGCACTGCATGCAGGGCAGTAGTTTTTTCAAAGCTGACACAGCAGTCTTTCTCAATCTGAATCAATCATATGGGACATCTGACATAACAACTGACAAAACAGGATTTTCCACAACAAAGAATGCGGGTAAAAACCCGCACAGGAAGTTGGCTCACCACAGACAATGCATCAGCTGGTATTCTGCTGCGAGAATTGCCCACTGAGATGATTGAAGTAGACAAGAAAAAGAGCATGCAAAACCCAAGCTGCAAAGCAAGCTTCTGTGTTCTTAAGTTTATTTTTTCCATCCCACCTTAACAGAAACTTTATCCAATGACACACTTGTTAAGTTGGTGTTTGGATTGGAGAATCCCAAATAAGGGGTACAAAAAAGAATCTTCCATAGTCAGGAAATTGACATTACCACACAGCCTCATCCAGCATCCTGACTAATTTTCATAGCAGTGTAAACTATCCCTAAGTAGATTGGTATTATCAATAGCCTTAGCAGTCACAGTTGAAGTCACCATTTTTTCGTTGAGTTTAGTAATTTCCCTATGACTTGGTCCACATTTGCTAGTCAAATGGGGGTTTTCTTCGCTGTGGGAGGAGTTTGCAGGCTAATTAGTATCTCTGCAGCCATGCTTTGCATAGGCACAGTCCACCTACAAAGAGACGAAGGCTGTTCCTCATCTCTCTTATCCTTTTATAGTCAACAGTTGTGCCTCATTAGATAGATAGATAGGAAGTGTATTTGAAGTAAAAAGTATAAATAAAGATGAATAGTTCTTGACAGTTGACCTTTGACCTGTGGTTAGCACCCAGTTGACCAGTGAGGACCACAGGGGAGGAGAGGAGACAAAAGGCGACGCAGACTCAAGCACAGAAGCCATGAGTCGTACTAAGGTTAGTACCAGAGAGGAAGTGTGTTAATGCATGAGGGAATACAACTTCCTCTATTCTCTTCAGCACTAGCTCCCCACTGCTTCCCCTTCCTCTTTTTCACCCTCTCTCCTTCTCTCTGCTACTTTGTGTGTCTTAGCTGAGGGGGAGTAGGTGTGTTTTGGAGTGAGGGGGGGGGGATCAGTGGGCAGGGCAGGGGGCTGGCTTTCCTTGAGGGAGGATGAGAGGGAGGAGGAGAGGAGAGGGATATGAAATTAAGGGAAAGATCATAGTTGGCCATCGATCTACTGATTGCTGGAGCCAATGACTTTGGGAGTAACAGGATGGGCTATCAGCTTCCCTGAACCCTGTTGCCAAAGGAGGCAAGTAAAAAATACTTAATGTGGCTTACTAAGTTGTTAGAGTTAAAATGCTTTCGTTATTGTAAGTACTTGAAATGCTTCATATTTCCTGACAGTTGGACATAGAGCTTCACAAAAGACAATAAAAAAGGAAGATATAAATTCAGAGCAGATCATGAATTGATGGTTGAAATTGGATAATGTAATATTGTAATAAAAACCAAAGCTATTCCAGTTAGAATGATCAGAGAAATCTTTACATTTTAGAAGCTGAAACAGTAAATGTTTGACATTTTGTGTGATAAACTACATTTAATTGTTGTCTTTCAATTAAACAAATGTAATTTATAATCAGTTTTGTAAGGGGAGAAGAATTGATTTAAAAAGATGACGGTGCTGTTCTAAACCCCAATAACACAATGGATCATCACTGTATCTTCTGTCTGTCTGGACCAATTAGTGTTTACAATGAGCTGCTTTGATGTATGGTCTACACAGTAAGAATGCTTCATGGTATGCCCAGCCTCACACAGGCTTTCAGTGTTTTCATGTTTGAGGCAAGGCTCACTTGTGTTGTGATGCTGTTTCACCACAGTCTGCTTTGCATCCTGCTGAGAGATCGATGAGCTTGGTTTATTTAGTCTCCTGCCTGCTGGTGGCATGCTGGACTGCCTCCCCACTGAGAGAGAGTGCGAGGGGAGCCAAGAAAGACAGGCTTTTGAAGCTGTGGGTGTGTTCAGCCTGTCAATAAAATACTTACTTTACACTAACAGAACCCTGGTCAAGAAAGTGTTTTGATGATTAAGAATCAGCTCCTGGTTTTAATCTGCCAACAAAAAGGAGTTGAGTTTCTTTGGACAAAATCATTTGGTTATATTCAAATAGTAGTTTTACTTGTAAATGTAAGATATTTTGAAGGTTAACCTGACTATGCAAGATAGTTTGTTACACAGAAACATCTGGCAAGTCATTGTTGGAAACACAGGACAGCCAAACAATATAATACTTGGCTGGTGATTGGATGAACACATCTTTTTCACTGAGAAAAGCCTTCAGTTAGTTACACTTCTTCTCCAGTGAAGAAATACTCTGCAGCGCTGATATAATTGATGCTAGCAGCATCTATGCTAACATCTTTAACAGCCGCCATTGTTATTATTAGACAGTCACTTCTCACACATGTCGTCACACACATCTAGTGTTATGCCACACCTGTAGTGTAGTAGGTAGTTGAGATTAGGCAGCAATGACAAAACTGATTATTATTGAAGAAAAAATCTTGACATGCAAGCCTTCAACATTTGGAGGATTGGATGATTTCAACTTTTGAAATCAAGCTCCCCAGGAAGAATGTTAAGTTAATTATATAAAAAAAGATGTTGCATTTGGATGTGATACCAGGTAATGATGCTTGTTAAGAGGTAACTGAGCAGTTTTATTTTGCTTCACAGTTTCTTTGACTGTAAAATGACATTGAAGTGTGTTTTGTATTGAAATGGTAAGGCAGCTCTCTCCTATTCTGAGCCTTGTCAGAACGGATATTATGCAGACTCATTACACAATATCCCATTGCATTACTCTGAGCGCTCACCTTGTGTGTGTGTGTGTGTGGTGTGTGCACGCAGTCCGCCTCCACTACTTAGCACTGTGCCAGTGTTAGCGTGTTTTCTGAGCACCCCTCTCAGCAACACACACTCAGAGAGCTGCTGGGCACTCCATGAAGCTCCACATTATATAAGGAAACAGCCCAATCTTTCTCTTCCACACTCTGTACAGGTTAGATAGTATTTCACTGCCATGGGACAGGTACGCTACATGTATGTGAATGTACGCATTTCTTTTAATCACTGACCATTTCTGGTAACGTAGGACATAAAACTGTGCTGCACCATCGCCTGTATTTTTCTCACCCTCTCCGTCCTTCTCTTCCTTTACTTTTGTCCATCACAGAGCCCGAGCCAGGACAAGTCGGCAGACAGATCAACAGCAGAGGACAGGTGAGTCACTGTCAACTGTTCAGCTCAGGAAACCTTTTGAACTTGCCTAGTTTTCAAATTGCTCCACTTTCCAACAGCAGCAATAAATCTGAAGATTTTAGCAATTTTTGCCAAGAGAGAATGTCTTTTGGTAGTGACATTAAGGTTTAGATTTGTTTTTTGCAAATGCTATAATTTTATATAAAGGTGCACTGTACATGTGTTTCAGCACGTGTCTGCTACCTGTGTTGGTGGAAGAGGAGGAGAGCGTGCAGGACAGTACAACCGAGATTCCAACAGTAGCCGCCAGCATGGAGGGTAGGAAGAAAAACCTTCAAATCTTTGTGCATGAAGGAGAGAAACGGAGAACCTGATATTTCTAAGCCGACTGTTTGTTTACGCCTTCTGGCATCTGCGTGTAACTTTGACCACCCACACACCAACTCTTCCTTCCAGGGACAGACCAGCTCGACAGTAGTGGAGTGACCACCTTCTCTGACAGCAGCTCTCCTCAGACACGGTCGTCCGTCACACATGCCAGCCAATCAGGGAACGGCATGGGCAGCGTGACCTCTGACCCCAGCCATTCGGAGGATAGCGCTGCCAAAAAGGACTCCCTCCCCCTCTGTGGCAAAAATAAGAGGGAACTGGTAAGACCTGCTCTACACCCACTTTCTTCTCAATTGACTGTTGGATTCGTACTTCCACATATTGGTGGTGACAATGATTTAAAGTCATGTAACGGACTACTTTTGGAGTTTGTGTAGATCAGGGTCATTATACTGTAGTTTGTTTTTTCTTTTTGTATAAAGTTACTCAAAAATCTTTATAGTTAATAAACTTTATAGTTAATTTAGTTTTTATTTAGGGTCTGGTAGTAGATATGGTTTACTACCTTTTTCAGCAGGTGTTATCTAATACAAACAATAAATCATGAACCTTTTTTTCAGCTGTATTTAAGTATTTTTTTCATAGTGCATAATTTTTATTTGTGATTTCTTGTTCTGTTTTGTATATGTTTTTTTTTAACACTGAATTTTTATATTTTTTTGTTTAAGCTCAGCTTGAAACAACCTCAGAGGAGATTTAATTAAACACCAAGGATCATGTTGAATGGAGCTGTTGTCATTAAGATAATGTGTATCTGTTAGTGATGAGTTTATTACGAGTATCTTCATTCAGCATGACGTTGAAGAGAAATGCTGTCTTTCCAGCTATGCGAGTAGAGAGAGAGAGAGAGAGAGAGAGAGAGGAGAGAGGAGAGAGAGAGGTTTCATTTTAGCTCTACTCAGGATTAGATCATTCAGAATCAAGAGCCAGCTACACTGCCAGCTGCTTTGAATCTTTTCATTTTACCTTTTATTATGTAAAGACTAATAAAGGATAGGGGAGACTAGTGAGGAAGTGAGTAAAAGATAAAATATGGATGTTGAGGAAAATGGGAGCAGGGGGGGATCAGAGTTAAAAGGAGAGCAGGAGGGGGGAAAAGAGCAGAGCAAGGCAGTAACGTTTGTTCGGATCCTGCAGGAGCTGACGCGCAACATGGAGGCCATCAAGGAACACAAAGTTCAGGAGGACCAAAGTGAGACCAGCATGGCCACTGAGAAGGAATGTATGTGTAATATATTCATTGTACACTGTTGTATACTAGATATGATATATAATATTTACCAACTGTCTTTTAATATCAAATTTAAGTAAATTTTTTTAATGAGTGCTTGTACGTTTACTGTTTGAAAATTTAAGTGGTGATTGCACCATTTTGTCATGCCATGATACACCTACTTATCATTTCCTTCTCTAGCTGAGACGTCAATGATCTCTGACACCAGTGACACATTGAAAGACAGGAACAGGTGAGACAGCAAGTGACCATAACACAAGTCAACACTTTATCATCCATGTGTACATGCAATAAAATTTGTCACAGTGTTCTAATTGTTGTCTCTTTATGTGCAGCCTGTCACCTAGTGATAAGGAAATTGAGGTATGTATGCCATTTAGATCTTGGAGACAGTTAACATTTAAGTGAGTTTGCACTACACTTTGCTAATGCAAACTGATGAGTTTCTTCAAATCTGTGGCTTTTTACGGGGAAGTTTCATAATTTATCTGGTGTAACTCATCTGCCAGCACAATAGTGGTGTCTTTGATAGGCGAAAAACTCTTATCTTAATCAATCAACGAAACTTTAAAAAATAGTCATTGTGTCTGCAGTTGGCTGATATATGATATAATGCCACATACAGTATGTGTTGAGCAATGACTGCAGTAATTTTAAAGTCAAGTGTCAACTTTTTCATGTTTTCAGACAGAGTTCCAGCGTCTGGCATTGGGCTTCAAGTGCGACATGTTCACCCTGGAGAAGAGACTCCGGCTGGAGGAGAGGTCACGTGACCTGGCTGAAGAGAACGTCCGCAGGGAGGTGTCCAGCTGTCAGGGCTTACTGCAGGTTAGTCTGTGTATGTGTGCAATTTTGCAGCTTTTTGTGGATGAAGCACTTGCTTAAGTTTTTCTCCATCATCTGGCAAAAGAATTGACGAAGTATACCTTTATTTATATTCTCAGTCTTAGGAATGTGGACCCTCACACTTTATGATAATTACCCACTGAATATTTGGAGTGCACCTCTAGTTTATAATACTATTATTTGTCCTGCACACTTTCCAATTTTTAAATTTTTGTAACTATGGTAGATAGTAGCCTTCTTTTCTGTGATAAATGTTGTGGCTTCATGTGAGTGAGATTCACGTTGGAACAAGTTTCAGTCAACTGGAAAAATGTGGACATTTGCATTACATCAAGAAAGATTATTATAAGAATTAATGAATTCACCTTAAGTGAATCGGTTAGTGTGTAACATTTTATAAAGAGTGTAAAATATTGTTCTTTGTCTTTTCTCAACTCTCCTTGTTCTTTCTTTTCCTTTTTTTGTCCTCTCCCAAGGCCCTGACTCCTCTGTGTGAGGACGACAACCAGTCCATGGAGATCATCCAGAGGCTTCAGAAGAACCTGGATATCCTCATCCAGTCCATGACCAGAGTGTCCAGTCGCTCTGAGATGCTAGGAGCTATTCACCAGGTGGGATAATGTGTGTGTTTGTTTTGGTGTGATGAAAGTATGAACTGAGCTAAAATGACATATTGTATTGTGCCTTTGATTTTGATAATTTAATGGAGCCTTGTGCATGTGAATGTCAGGAGAGTCGTATTGGTAAGGCTGTGGAGGTGATGATCCAGCATGTGGAGAACCTGAGGAGGATGTACACCAAGGAGCATGCTGAGCTGTTGGAGCTGAGAGAGACGCTCATGCAGAACGAGAGGTCGTTTGGATCACAAACCGAAAGAGGTAGGGGGATTGAAACATACTATCAATTTACAATTCACTTGTAACAATAACTGATATTACCAGTTAGCTACTATTTTGTTCTGATGTTAAATATCCTAAATTTAAAAGTGATTATTGTTATAGTTGCTATCTATTCAGTATTTACTAGAAATGTTATGTTTGGTAACTATATTTAAATACAGGTCCATATAATACTCGCTCAATATAGTGACAACCCTGTTTAATCTGTGTGTGGGGGTGTGGGTGTGTGGGGTCGGTCAGTGATTGCACATGAAACCACATCTATAGCAGGTAACTGAACTGTTCCTTCTTTCCAGATGACTTCCGTGGCAAGAAGCAGCCGCCACAGTACTACAAGGTCAGCTGCAGCTAGGTTACATATGATCTCATCATTCTTCATTCAGGACTGAAGTTGCCTTCATGTGTTAGTAATGTTCATGTGTGTTTTTTTTGTTGTTTTTTTCCCCCCCCGAACAGTCATCAGCCCGCCGGGTCAGCATAGCGGCAATCCCCCGCACTGGTGGAGGCAATATGCATTTTGACATGGTGAGGACATCATGTAGCACAAACTTGGTTTTTATACAGTCAGCAAGTGGGCTATTTGCACTATTAATATAATAAAGTTTATTTCCACGGTGTTGATAAAAGTTATGTTTTTTTCATAGAGTTTTCATTATATATTTTCCATTTTCTTAGTATTGCTTTCAGTGCCAACTTGCAGTGCAGACTAAAGCATGAAAATTGATGATGGTTAAACTACAAATTTAAAGTCTCATACCACAGTGTCAGTGTATGTCAAATGTAGGGCAGGCTTTGGTGCTGTTAGGAAATAGAAATTGAGTTGTGTATGATGGAAATTTGATCCATGTTTGAAATGTCTGTTTTCATGCTCTATATTGTGCCAAAGAGCATTTTTGTTTACATGACTCAAATAGTTTGATTCTCCCACCACAGTCCAAAACACAAGATGGCTCAGAGGCTGAAACAGAGAGACTGACCAGGCGATCCCCATGGTAGGTATTTGCATATGTGTGTTAATGTTTTTGTTACATTTGCCTGGATTGTAATATGTCGAGTGAAGTCAAACAAGATTTATTTTGTATGTGAAGGGGAAAGTGTGCTTAAATTAGTAGTAAGAGGACTGTTTACATTACTCTACCTTTTTTAAAACCCAGCAGCAGCATTATCTCTGTGTGGGAAGCCATTGGCTGTTTCTCTCAGGCCACAGAGGTTACACTATAACAAAAGGGTTGTTGTTGTTATGCCCCAATGTGATAACGGTGGTTTTCAGGAATGTGGCAGGGAAGAGCATGGCGCGCCCCCCACTAAAACGCTTTGTTAGCTCTGCGGCCTGGGTTGACACTGAAGAGCCCTCTCTCATGATGAAGGGGTAAGACATGTTAAGAAGAGGCGCTGGCTGCGTCCCCCAAGTTATTTTACAATGGACCCAGATGAATAAAGATGGCTACTTTCTGGTGTGACATCACTACTGTTGGTCTGACAGTGGAGAATAGGAAAACTGGGGTTTTCAAAGTCTGAGACTGGGACCTCCCCCTGCCTTCGACTTTGAAAACAATCCATATACTTCTATTGTAGTCAAGAATACACTTCTAAAAATCACTTCGGAGAGGATATCTTACGGAAATAGTTTTCTGCATTTTTAATGTGCAAGATTTACAGAAAACACAAAATTAATTATCTGTACATATATCTAATATACGTAACTACACCACACTACTGCCAACATCAGGAGTAATGTAAATGAAAGGGTGAAGCTTAGATTGCTGGAACAAACTCGGTGATGGGGAAAAAAATCAGTGATGATGAAATCCAACCGCACAGCAGCCATCTTTCATGCATCTGGTCCCTCCGTGCATGGGGAAGTGTTTATCAGAAGCCAACCTCCTTTTTGTGACATTTTTCAAATCTGGCACATTTTTTCTTTTGTGTCATTTGTAAAATGAGAAGTGTGGACTTTTATAATTTTATATTGGCATCATATAGCTTTCAAATGTTTGGACGATGAGAGTAGAACTTGCTCTATTTGACCAGCTAAGCCTAAACTGAAGCTTAGATGATACAAATGAAGCAATTTTATTTCTCTCCAAATATCTGAAAGGTTGTAAAATTGCTTTGTGGGATCATGATATAATATTGGAGCATGTAATTGACATTGCTGGGCATGCATTGTTATAGTGCATTAAACGTTTGATCAGGGATATCTGTCTTTGTGTACTGCATATAAATGGTAAACAGTCAATATCTGTTGGCTGCACATGCATGAAATGTGCATGTGTGCATGAGCACATACAGTCAGTGTAGTTATGCAGCCATGCTTGTATTTGAATGTGCAACTGAATAGTGTGTTTGTGAATGCCTGACCCACGCGTGCCAACAGGACGGCCTGCGACAACACCGACTACCAGTCGGAGGACGAGCAGAAGGAGGAGCCGGTGGCAGAGAGGAGGAGGTCCAGTCTCAGTGAGCTGGGCAACAAACTCACCTCCCTCATTCTGCCCCTAAAGACGTTAGTCTAACCAAATACCCACCAATAGCCTACTGCAGCACCACTTTCTGCCAGCAAAGCTAAGAGGCTAGCTGCATAGTGGAAGAGTTCATCATTTAGCTGTGCTGAGGTTCCAGTAGCTGCAAACTGAAATGTCTGATGTCAAAGGTCATCTCTGACATATTAGATGTTTAGTTCATCTCCATCTTTGATGTTAAACAGTCATTTCTGTGGTGTTTTTTCTGTGGTTTACAAAGATCACACAGCCACCATGCATCTTATTAGTGAGCAAGATTTGTCAAAGGTCTCTGTAGGTGGCTATTGTGGCTGTCACTGTTCATGCCAACTACTCAGTCCCTGTAATGTTTATTTTAACAACATTACTGCTAGGTCTGCTGGAGAGTTCACCTTTAGTGCTCCAGAGCATTTATAAGACACCAACAAATGTAAAAGATTACATGGGCTACACACAGGCTGAATTATTGTTCTGTATGTACTCGTAATGGCAAGCAGCAAATCATACATTTTGAATTATTGAATATGAAATGATCACTTATGTGCTACTTATCATGTTCTGTTCAACATGCTGTGTGAGTACATGGAACCTAAGTGATGAAACTCTTCCATTATATGGGTTTGTGCTGGACTAGCTTCTTCTTTGCTCCAGGGGCTCAGTGGCTTTTAATCAAGTTAACGGAGCGTTTTTCTACTACAAGGGCCACAAATGAACCATTTCCTTCAGCTGTTCACTTGAGATCAGTGTATGTCAGTGTGACAAGTGATTTTTGAAGCTTCATAATTTGTGTTTCATGCATGGATCTCAAGTTCTGATTTTCAGTGTGCAGCTAACAAAGCGTCTAACTGATAACGAATGCATCTCTACCGCCTCAGTCTTCTGTCATTTACTAACCTGTTCAGCCACCTTAACAATTGTCTGTGCAAACAACTACACTTAGACTATTGTCTTTATTTTTGTGGGGCAACTGAGTATTTTGTGCAATCATGTGGTGTTCTGAACTGTCCTTTCCTCTTTTCCTCCCTCCACATTGCTCAGGAGTCAGGATGAGCTGTTTGTAATGCTGTAAGTGTGTAGGGAGTAGAGTCCAAAGTGGGAAGTGCTTCTGGATTCTATCTCCATCCAAAAAAAACAATAAGTGCATGCAACAGACCTGTATTTATCATGTGGGAGTGCCAATCAAAGGCCACTTACAACCTTGCACTGACTCGTAATGACTGTAAAGTGATTTGAAGCAGCACTCCTACTGCTGACAAGATTCTAGGCCCAAATTGTCTGCTGCCTTTGCTTAACCAGTCGATGCTCAAATCCACTTCCATGCCAGCCGCTATTAACTGTGCTATTGACAGCTTTTTCATTATGCTGATGAAGACTATGTGAATGGTTTTGCATCTTTGACACGGTTTGAGACAGGTGGTCAAATGTGCTTTATTGAAGCCAACTTCAGATTGTACCAAGCTGCAGCTAATTCACTGCCTGCCATCTATTGCATCAGTTACCACAAATGACTCTAAAAAGACTCATGATTACTTATTTCCTTCCCTATGTGTCATTTTTGGTAACTTATTCAATATCTAGCTTCATCTTTAACCATTTTTAATTTCTTAAGTTTCCCTCTCTCATGCTTCATTTTCTGGCCATCCTGTGGTAACATTTTATTCTCTTTTGTTGCCCACCTGCAGTCCAAGCCCTTCGTCTAGCCCGACGTCTACAGACCCAGGAATGGCCCAGTCTCTGTCCCACGGCCTGACCTCTTCCCGGACAGCGGCAGCAGCAGTCGCTAGAGGTGGCAGGGGGCTTTGGCTTTGGTTGGCGATGGTGGTAGTGCTAGCAGGTACGCTCAGTTTGTTTGTAGTACTTACTTCAAGATTAGTCTTTTTAATCTTACAGATAAAGAATAGAGTAACTTGATACTTGATGGCAGTAGAAACAAATGACCCACTCTGTACTGATGAAAGCATGTACAAATTAGCATTTTCATTTCTCAGTTTGTCATTTGAGTTTCCTCTTTTGTTTTTGATTAACAAATTCTAAATCAGTGTTCAAACCACTTCTAAATCCCAGCCTGTGTTCTACATGTTCCAAATCCAATGACAGAGCAGTTGCCTATAGGCATTTTCCCAGTGCTGGTAAATATTCATGGTTCCCCTGCAGGTCTCCTGGCACTGCTGGCCAGCCTGGTGATGCAGCCAGTGGTAGATGCAGCCCCTGTGGGGACTGGGGACTCCTGGATGACCATCCAGCAGCTGCTGTGGCCCTACGCAGGGCTCCGGCACAACGGACAGCCCCCTGTCTAGCCCCAGAGACCTGGCTTGGATGGTGTTACGGCCCATCAGCCCTCTGCTGAAATGATCTGTGCACTGTGGTGGTGATGAAGGAAAGTACAGTGTACCACTCCTGAGCAGAGGTTGTTGGGATGTTTACTGGTGCCTGAAAATTCCTAAAACAAGACTTTTGTATTGACAGCACAGGCCAGGCCTCAGAATAGTTAACCCTGTGGAGGATTTTATATATCACATCACGTTTGCTAAATTAGTTGGTCTGTTTGTGTCTATGTGTGTGTCTGTGTTTTAAGAGAAGAAGCGGTTCCAGGTGGTTCACGGTGGGCTGCTCAACACCCTCAACAAATTATGATGCAACTGTCTACTTGGACCCAACACAATCTGTCAAATCAGGCTTGATCAGTCATCAGAGCTGGCACAATGTTGACCAATCATGTCACAGCTTCATGAGAATGACAACACTGATCCAACAAGTCATGTAATGGGCCGCTGTGCAGTTTTCCATTGACGAGCATCATGGACAATGGCTCCGATTGTTCCACATGGCTTTTTTAACACATTTCATGCACGTGAGGAAGCGGGACTGCCAGCCTTTTTCCTTACAGGTTGCAAAGGACATTTAATATTTTTGAAGTCTAAACACTGGTAATAAACCTTTCATTTTAAGTGTTTTTAAATTTTTGAAATCTATATTTATGAGTTTGTTAGTTTTGAGTGGGGAAATGTGAATATGTTTATTTTTGTTAAGTTATAATTCTACATTGTTACAGTCTTAACACCAAAGGGTTTTTTATTTTTGTCTTTAAGTTTTTGCTGTGGTTGTCACCGTTTTCAACTCCATACACTTTTGTATGTTCCAAAGAAGATGCGTGAGACTTTGCACAAATAAAGTAGCCAATTCTACAATGGAAGACGTGGGTTCTTTATGTATATCCAAATGCACATTTTAAATTCAGCTGTTTAAAATGTCTTTATTTTGTTCATTTAAAAAGTGCAACCCCAAGTTAATTTCACACAGGTTATGAATACATCAAGGGTCTGGTGGCACAGAGCAGGCTCTGTACTGTATCGACAAACAGATAATTGGATTCTCTGGTCGTAGCTATGCCGTCAGTGCTCATGTTGTCCTGGAGCATGTGGATAAAGGTGGAGTGAAACTCACTGCCGGGATAATGGTCTGGAGAGAAAACCTCACTCTTCTCTGTGATTTCCAGCTTCTGACTCCTCTGGGCGCCCAGCAGGTAGAGACTCCACGAGCCCTTAGGCACAGGGGCAGGGCCGTGGTGCTCACACACCTGACAGAGGAGAAGGGAAGTGCAGACAGAAAATAGAACAGAAATTAAAACTTGATATTTTGGATTGGGTGTTTTCTCTTAAACTGCTGCAGTTTATGTCCTGTCTGTGCACTCAACCACAGCCTCACTGTTCTAGAGAGAGAGAACCAGGCGTTCCCCATTTGAGAGACGGTATTTTTTGTGTGGCACTACAAAACTTCCTCATTCTGAAGAGATTATATCTCTTGCCTGTGTTTGCGTGGGTGTATAAATGTCTAATCTGCTTGTGTTAAGGGCACCCAGGTGGCATAGGAAACTTGATGCTACATTGACAACCCCTAATTGTTTGTCTCAGTGCCAGAGCGGAAGTTGTTGGGGTACACCTTTGCATGTGGCTTGGGAGTCCATGTGTACAGGAGGAGATACTGTGACTGTGCACATCCTCCTCAGGCAAACACAGGGAGGGTAGTGTTGGTGAGAATACCTGCATGACCAGATGCTCAGCGCCACATTTGGCATTCCACTTGCTCCATGAGAAAGCACAAGCAGAGGCGAAGAGGGCCATCTGTTCGTAGGCAGCATGTTCAGTGAGTGGGTCCTGAAGAGGAGAAAAAACCACACAAAACATTTATAACACTGGAAAATGTTGGAGTGTAATCTAGTGATCTAAGTAAATTACTTATTCTAATATGTACAATGGTCCCTTAAGCTTTACATCATTTATTGTGAGTAGTTTTTTTTTTTTTTTTTTAGAAGGAAGTAGTGTTTTACATTTATGTTTCTATTTTATTATCCAGGCATCTCTGGATCGCTGTACACATTTAGCATGGTTCCACAATGCCGATCGGTCTGTCAATCACTTAATCCGGACTGAAATACCTTGACAACTATTAGATTGCCATGGTACAGACATTCATGATTCACAGATATATATATATATATATATATATATATATATATATATATATATATATATATATATATATATATATATATATATATTATATATATATTTATATATATATATATTATTATATATATATTTTTTTTTTTTTTTTTTTTTTTTTTTTTTTTTTTTTTTATTTAAAAAAAAAAAAAAAAAAAAAAAAAAAAAAAAAAAAAAAAAAATAATAAAATAAAAAAAAAAAAAAAAAAAAAAAAAAAAAATATATATATATATATATATATATATATACACTAATGACCTATCTGATCCTCTAATCTTTCCTCTAATGCTACCATGAGGTTGACATTTGTGGTCTTGACGAAAATTACAACTACTGGAAGGATTACCATGAAATCTAGTATAGACATTCACATCGCACTCAATATGAATATTATTTTGTTTGGTGATCCCTTACCTTTACTTACTAATACTTTGGTTTATGACCAACTAATAATAGTAATAACATTCCCATTAACTAAAGCTTTACTTTTGTTTTAAGCCAAATAATCAAATATTAGCATGCTAACACACTATAATAAGATTAAAGATTATACCTGGTAAACTTCAGCATGTGAGCATTTAGCTCAAAGCACTGCTGTACCTAAGTGCAGCCTTACATGGTCGCTAGCATGGCTGTAGACTTAAGCTGTGTTCCAATACCATACTATATACTAATTCTATATAGTATGTACTACATACCAGTTGTAAGAATACTGTTCTGTTCAGCGGTTAGTATACAAAAATAAAAATATAACATGCTTTAGCATTTTACACTAACAAGTAATGATAAAATATGTGACAGTTACCAGAAAGCTACTGCCAGTTAAAAATATTTTTCTATTTTTGCTTAGAATCAGTATGTAATATGGATTTGGGACACAGCAGTAGTCTTGTTGCTTTATGCAAAGGTGGAGTCGGGCCTTCTGGAAAAAGATAGTTTATTATTGATCTCATATTATTATTATTATAATTATTGGGCTTATTATTATTATTCCCAGGTCGTCAAACACCGACAGTTTGCCAAAGCTCTGCCATAAAGACTGACCCCACCTTTAAAACAGCTGCTGCGAATGTTGTGTAATATAAGTTGAAAGCACTGTGATGACGGTGCGTTGTCAGCCTAAAAAATTTACTGTAATATAATGATGCTTAGAAGAAAGTGAATAACATGTCATCTCCCACTTCCTGTCACTGATATGTGGATTAATTGCCAGACACTGAAACACAACATGGACATGACCAAATAAAGCCAAACCTGGCTCAAATCTAGTATCTTAGTCTTCTATTCTAAAAGCCAACAAGTAAAAGAGCAGACCTTGCTGCAAGTGCTGACGTATTTGTCCGTGTACTCATTCACAAAGATATTGATGCCAGCGCTGAGCATGGCTCTCTGCAGGGCGGGGCCACTCATCCACTTCCCTATGAGGTGAGCGAGACCTCTCTCTTGCTCTGACTGCAACATACACTGGTTACCCTGTTTAGTAAAATAGGCACAAACACAAATTATAACATCTTCTGATTAATTCTTCTGTTATGCGGGTACAGTGCCCTCCAGTCCCTTACCTGGATTGTGATACTGAGGTCGATGAGCGCTCCGTTGACAGTGAACAGAGCGGAGTCTTGCCCTAATGGCCTGAGCTCCCAGCTCTGGAAGGGAAGGTTGGCATACGTTTCCTGCATCAGCACAAAGGCCTGGAAGGAGTCCATCTTGAAGGAGATCTTGGCTTCTGCCTCCTCATAAGAGATGTCAGTGATACCGTCCATCCTCCACTGCTTCCCTGGACAAACAACCAATGTCCATGACCTTTCTAAATAGCTCTATTTCACACCCCTCCATGCTGGAGAGGGTTTTATATAGTATGCCTACCTGCAGCATCCCAGCGAGCCACTTGGGGAGTTTCCAAGAAGACGACAGAATCGGGCAGTGTCACAGACACACCAACAGGAGGGCACGTAAGGCTTTCGTTGTCATCTACCTTAGACTTCTCCACAGGGTAGGGGAACACCTGCAGCCCTTTGTCCAGCAGCTGGAAAAACATGGACGTGGAGGGTTGACTTAAACTACTGAGTCTGGTGTAAGCAGAGAACGCTGAAACCCCTCTTCTATTTACCTGTCTAATTTCCCAGCCATTGGCCTGGTGGGCTTGTGGCGGGAGGTGAAACACATCATAGAAGAGGACCCCACCCAGAGGTGTGTACTGCATTAAATCTACCACCTGGACGCAGTCCATCATTGATAACTCCACTGGGGGAGAACTCAAGTCCCCCTCATCTGAAGAGAAGGGGAAAAAAAGATGGAGGAAGAGCTTTATAACTTAATTTACTTCTATTTTTACACAATAATGGATAGACAGATCTTAATCTACATTAGAAAACACAAGACCTGTCAGAGTGTCAGGAAGTGTCAGGCTGGCCATCGTTTCACCAAGCGCCTCTATCTGTGTCTGTACTTGGCTCCCTTGTCCCTCTGCAGGTTGGACACTACTTTTCCTCGACTGTACGCTGGCTGCACTCTGAAATACACACACACACACACACACACACACACACACACACACACACACACACACACAATGAGCATGAAAACATCACAATCAACTTCGCAACCCAGCCCAGGAAGTCTTTCTTTCATCTTACCTTCCGCCCTTCGGACCCTTGGATGGACTGCACATCCTCGTCCACTCTGTGCTGCTGCGTCTCGTTGTCTTCCTTTACCTCCTCCTCTGCTTTAGTCTGCTCCTGCTCAGACACCCCAAGGTCTGCCGGAGCCTCGTCACCGCCTGCAAGAGACCTTGGAGCAAACAGATGAGGAAAGACAAGAACACAGACCAAAGAGAACAGGGTTAGTATTATCAGCATTATTACTCCTGTGAAAGTATTGCCAGTATTAGCTGTATTTACTGTGGTTAGAGCACTGTCAGATGAGTACCTGTGGCTGTGTAGTCTGAGGTGAGCAATCCTGGCCAGCAAGGACAGGTGGTCATACCGTGTGTGGAGGATCCGTACAGCGATATCGCTCACAGCCAGCTGTTTGGGAAGCTCAAAGCCCAGGCCGGCCTCTTCAAAACATAACCCTTTAAACCTGAGTGGACCCATTAGAAACAAAGAGAAATGCTAGATATTGTTTTTCCTGCTAAATATAAATGTTCCAATTTCAGTGTTGTGATATTTAAGGTAACAAAAATTACACATTGCCAGTGGAAAGGGTTGCTAGCTGTGCTCCAATTTTATATTATATTATTATTCTGTTTTTAAATTTTCATACTAGTTTTCAAATGTAACATATATATACAATATAAAAGATTGGTTCCCCTACACGTTATAAGCCACTGCTGCAAACCTCACTCTTTCTTTTATTGCCACATTAAACCCATATAATCCATTTGTGGCACTTTCCTCCACAAACCTTGGATTCTTCTTGAGGTTGGCCCAGAAACACAGTGTGACATTGTCGTCTTTGATCACCGTCTGCATGTTGCCTGTCTCAGTGTCGATGTTCGCACTGGCCCTCTATGTACAGGGAGGAGCAGGAATGGTTCACACGCACAGTGTCTTGAATGTTACACAATAATGCATCATTTTTATTCTATAGCACCTTTCACACGTATGACTATGATTCCTGTACCTTGAAGATCTCCTCTGTGGTGAGGTGGAGTTTCAAGTGGATTAGCTCTTGCAAATTTATGAGAGCCTCCTGGTACTTCTGGCCCTCTTGTGGATGTGTAGCATCTCTGAGCAGAACTTCAAGCTCCTCAATCAGCTGTAAGAGAAAACATTTAACAGACTTTGTCTTTTATAGGACATGGCTTCACTCCTGATCCCCCATTTCTAAAGGGACAGTTTATAATGCAATGACTATGTTGCAATTTCTGTAAATGGTCTTTGTTTTTGGAATAATGCACAATGGTCATGATATTATTTTCAATCAGTCATTTGGTTTTGCTAGAACATATCATAAATATTTTAACAATTACATATTTGGGTTTGTAGGCCATCTATTTAAAAGGTGTCAGGACTGTATGGCAATCAGAATCAGAATCAGAAATACTTTAATAATCCCAGGGGGAAATGGCACTGAAACTATTAAAGGAAACTTTTATTTATTGTGGGATAAAGTGGTAGTTTATTAATACTTAATTATATCAAAATAGTTGAAACTTATCTTCTCTACTGCCTCAGACTTAGAGAGACAAACACATGTCACATAGCACAAATAAAGTATCTATGCAAGTGGGTCTATTTCTGATAACTTTGTTAAGTGATCCTTAAAACTGGAGCTGATGTGTTCTCTAAGTGTGCGACACATACACATTTACACATCAAAATACACACCTGTAGAGCAAGGTTACATTGCTTGAGCACGGGTGTGATGTTGACCTCTGGGTCGTCTCTCCATAAGCAGATATATGTGTTAATATCCTGATGCACTGCTGGGTCTGGGGACCCATCACAACGCATGTATCTCTCCCACTGGAAAAACATAAACAGACAGAAACTACTGGTGCTTTGAAAGAAAGATAAGAATGTCTGATCACGTTATTTACATTTAAAAAAAAAAAAAACATTTTATGAACATCATAGTCTTTTTTCCGTGCTGGAGTCTGCTTGAGTATGGATCGAAAGCGTATTGCATTATAATGATTATTAACTTGTTTGCTCAGGAGGCTGATTGGTAACAATACATGTGTCAGACATCACTTAATTTCTCCTTCCCGCTAAATAACTCACACAGACAGAAACACACACCTTGGTCATCTCCATAGCAGCAGTTTTCCATTTGGTTACTGCAGTATGATTCTCCTCCAGTAGGTGGCGGAGTTCATTAAGCTCATCTTCTCTGCGCTCTTGATCCTGCCAGGAAAAGACACCCATATGCCCATACACAAGACAGTCCACTGTGTATTTACATTAAGAGCTATTAAGTTTAGTATTTGTATCCAATCCAATTCCAATTTATTTATATAGCACGATTTTAACAAACACAAAGTGCTGCACAAAAAGATTCAATGTTCAATTCACTGTTATTTGTATAACTTGTAGTTCTGGTCTTTAGTCAGTTAGTTTCAGATTGAATTTATCTGCACAAGAAAAAAAGATTCACATGGTATTATATTACATAGGGACAACTTACCTTTAACTCAAGCCTTTCTAGCTCCTTCTCTTTTCTCTCTCTTTCCAATTTTTCCAGCTCGTCTTTCTCTGCTTGCAGCCGTGCTTCCTCTGTAAGGCAAAAGCACATATGATCTGTACATGCAGTAGCTCAACACATCCCCTAATGCCCCATTCTAATGCTTCCAACAACTACATCATTTTAGCCCATGTTTAGATCAGATAGCTTGATCACCTTCCTCCTGCAGCCTCCTCTCCTCCTCCTCTTGCTGCAGCTTCGCCGCCTGAGCCTTGCTCAGCTTACTTCCCTTTTTGGATGACTTGAAAGCAGCAAAACATTTCAAATCAGTGTTTAACAGAGGCAGTGTGTGTAGTTGGAAAAGGGCACATTACTGAGGTCACACACACACTGTGACCATACAAGTGTGTGACTGCAGGAGTAGGATGGTATACTCTTTGCCTGGCTGCATATATCTTCAGATACATACCTGTGACAATCACATTCCTGTAGAATTAACATTAAAAATGTGCTGACTGACTTTTGCTCATACCTTTCCTTTCTTGGGCGGCTATCACTCAGAGGAAAAAACACAGAGAGAAAGTTGACAAAAGGTTTAAAACACGGATTCAAGGCACAGGGTAAGAAACTGGTGAGGAAATGAAGAAAAGAAAGAGCATCTTCCTGCTAACGCGAAAGCTACGCAGTTTAACTACCTTTAATTACTTTCACTGTCCTGTAAGTTTGTAGGTTATCTTAAGCCTTACTTTCCATATTAACTATAGTTAAAACCCCACAATTTTAATATGACAAATGAGTATTTTAGTCGAAAGAAAGTGTAACAACTCACCATGCTAAAACTAAAAAGCTCTACAGCGTCAAGGTAACCATAGAAACGCGTACGCATGCGTGGTTATCTGTTTTTATTTGCGACGTAACGAAACGACGTACGGCTGTCCACTGTTAGCCAAAGGAAGGACAAAGAAAAGGAGACGCTTCTTCAGTATCGTAGCGCTTGTGTAAACCCACTCAAGAAAAAAAACACGCGTAAATATGAAAGCACTGTTTAATGTGGTTGTTTGTAGAGTCTGTAATTAATATAGTTACCTGCTAACGAACGCCATAGCTGCCCTGCTGTAGCTAGCTTATGGCTAATGCCGTTGTTTGCCTGGCTCCTCACACTGACGCCCACTGGAGGTTTGTTGTTGTTGTTGTTTGTTTGTTGTCACCTCAGTTAACGGTCATACTCCTCTCGTTTCAGAAGTGTAAAAGGCCATCTGGTTTCTGACATGGCCAACCCTTTAAAGGGGGAGGTCATCAAGCTTTACAAAACCGTAAGTGAATTAGTCTCACACACACACACACACACACACACACACACAGGCGCTGCAGTATGGTTTCAGTATGTTTCTCATCCTCCTAAAGCTGCTCTATCTTGGCCGTGAGTACCCCCAGGGAGCAGCGTATTTCAGAGAGCGCCTGAAGTCGGCGTTCATGAAGAATAAAGACGTGACGGACCCCGAGAAGATCAAAAAGCTGGTGGCCCGTGGCGACTTTGTCATCAAGGAACTGGAGGCTCTCTATTTCCTCAGGAAGTATCGAGCCATGAAGAAGAGGTATTGTGAACCAGAAAAATAATGACACTCATAGATCAGCATTGATGTACCCTTCTGAAATGAAACGCAGTCTGTGTGGAAAGTACAGTGTCAGTATTTGCCTTTATCACATGCAGTCCACAATACTGAGCAGAAATTAAAAACAGTTGTCTCTGTATAAGAAGTAGTCTTGCCTCACAAGGGAAATGGAACATCCACCTGTAAGAAGTGCCACAAAGGGATGATAATGAAACTGTTTTTTATACACAAGTTGTACCTTAAATGCCAGGTTTTAAATCACAAGTATTGTACATACATTTTCCTCCACAAATAGGAATCAACATGTCCTCAATCAAGATGAATTAATTTAATGTCCGTTTTAAAATGGGTGTTCAGATTAAGACTGCTGTCGGGGTTCGTAGGTAAAACAGCTGCAGGTCTGCACCTGGTCTATAACAAGCTGCAGATACCGGACTGACTGAATCATATTGTTCAATGTATTTTGTATTTCAATGTATATATTTGTAAATACATGGTCAAATTCATTGAATGTACATGACTATGTATCAATGCACTATCTGATAGAGAGCAAAGTTTAAAACATTGATGTCCTCTGTCATAATAAAGTGGAGTTATCAGAGTTTTTCTCCTTGATTTCTGTAAGGGCAAGGTTTCCTGTTTGTCTGTATGACCTGAAGAGGGAAAAGCTCAAAGCAGAGATCAGCACTCATGTTGTTTTGTCGCTGCATCACTTTCTCTCTTTGAATTGGTGATAGAGAGTTGTCTTCTTTCACTTTGAGATTCAAGCTTTCTTAAATGTGCATTAAGAGCACAAAAGAGTGTATCATAACACCTTGAAGCTTATTACAAAACAGTAGGAAAATGCAATGCAAATATGTATTCCCATTGTAATGGTTCCAGTGATACTGAAGCAGAGGTAGTACAGAGCATGTACATTTCCTTTAATGAATGTTCTGTTCTCATTCACCTCAGTAGAGAGGGTTGTAATCCTTACTTCAGTATTACAGTATTACATAAAGTAAAGACTTCCAAACCATATGTATGACTTGCTTGTATGTTCTAACTTTCAGATCAGTGTTATTTATGGCAAATGTCAAAATAGAATAGCAGTCAGGACATATAATAACCTAAATGGCTGAGTTTGTTTGGGTTTTTTATTACAGTTTTTCTCTTTGCGATGGGATACAATATGTCATGTTTCCTTGCTGTGGTGGCCTACAACTGCTGTGTATGACACAGTTTAATTAATGAACATGAATGGTCAAACAACACCATTCCTTCATAAATCTGTCTTTGTAGTACTGGTGTTACTGCGTCATTGTTTCTATCCAGAAGGAAAACATCAGTCTGCCCCCTGTACCAATGCAGACCACTAACAGGTGTCGTAATGGTACCTCCCTTCAAATCCAAGTATCCAAAGGAAGAGCTCGTGTGCCTCATATAACAAATCAGCAGCACCCTCTGGCTGTGAGATATATTTAAGCTATTGTGCAGGTGTTCAATTTTGTGTTAAAAGCAGTAAGGGCAACAAACATACTAATTAAGAGAAATGTCACAATATTTAAAGGCATTTAAGAGAGAGATCAAACACATTTTCCAACTGGAAAAAATAATTCCTTAAAACATCAGACCTATAATTAATAGCTAATATATAATGAGAACAACATGCAGATGTACATTTTTAAACAGGGATATCCTGTTTTTTTGTAATTACAAAAAATAGTTTCCATTAGAGGGAATGAATGTGGGAATGCTGCCTGTAAAGGCCATCTCAGTGTCACAGAAAGCAGCATTTATGTTGCCAACTTTCTTCTCTCCATTCTTTGTCAGGTGATGCTTTCCTGCTCGTCTCATGACCTGAAGAGGGAAAAGTACAAAGCAGAAGTCAGCAGCTGTTATCAGTCTGTAGCTTTATTATAATATTGTTTCCCTGCTGCAGCGCTTACTCTGTTTTTAAAAAACAAGAATATGTGATAAGTAGTTGTGTCTTCTTTCATAAATGAAAGCCTTGATTCCTCCCTGGCCCTCCAGCCTCCTGAAATGCAGAAAACAGGGTCATTACAAACTAAGAATGTGATATCGGATTTCCATATCCAGTGTAATTAACTAATGCCAACAGAATATATTTCTTTACCTGTAAACAGGCTGACTATCACTCCTACACTGACAGAAGTTACAGCTCCAATAAGACAGAAGTAAAGGTAGGAAGGAGAGTGCCAGTTTTCTGCCAGTTGTCTGGTGGTGAGAGAAAATATTACATATTCAATCAAAGATAACCGGAGTGAAATCTCGCACATTTCCATTTATATATGTTCTGTTTAATTTGAGCTCTCCGGCAGAAATTTAGACTCATGATGGAATATATATAATAATTACATTATAGTAGAAAACCTGTTTGAAAAATGTTTTCAGTTAGATAAGAGTTTCTTAACTGTTTCCTAAACAGCAGGGTTGACCACTTTAGTCCAGATTGAAAGATCTTGATAAATACTTGAAGGATTGCCATGAAATCTGGGACAAAGATTCATGCAGGAACAGCTGTTTTGAGCTGAATACTAACGTCAGCATGCTCATTACATGTAAATTGAATGAATGTTCACCATCATAGTTGAAATATTAGCATGTTAACATTTGCTAACTAGCACTAAAGAAAGTAGCCTACACCTAAGGCTGATGAGAATGTCATTAGTTTGGCAGGTAATTGGTTATAAACTTTCCACAGAAAACCACAAATGGGAATGTCATGGTGAGGAAAGGTCAAGGGATCACCAAAGTCAGTGATTCCCAACTTGGGGGTCTCCAAAGCATCAGAAGGGGTCGTGAGGCCTTATTGATTTTAAGGGGTGTAAGACAACTTGAAAATGATGCACAGTAGGCCTATATCTAAGCATATCATGTAATGAAAACTAAATTAAATTTATTTATTAAGTTTAAGTCATTATTTGAGATCTAACCTCCTGAATACAAGCTTTATTCAGAGAGGCTCGTCCTACATTAGAAAAGAGCTAATAGAACAATGAGAAGAAAAACTGAATCTGTCAAAACAAGGAGCAGTTTAAGTATGTATGATTGTTAGAAATAATAAAAATACACGATAGAGCCAGAGAGTTGTATAACAAGTTCCTAAAATCATCTCTGATGCAATATTCACAAGAAATAACCAGCTCAAAATTCATCCAAATTGTTGGATGAATAACTTCCTGCAGTTATGGTTGGTTATGGTTAAGTTCATTGTACAGTTTATCAGTTGTTCTGTACTGTTATTGCTATGCATTGAAAATAATATGAAACCCATAAAAGTCACGTAGTTTGGGGTCGTCGGTTGACCGACCAATCGTCATTGCCATCCCCAGAGTCGTCTTCTTCTTCTTCTTCTTCTTCTTCTTCTTCTTCATGGCTAAGTGGTCTCATGGTGCTGTCATTTACAATCTTAATTTGTATCCTTCAAAGTTAACAATGCTCGTATTTCTTCTAGGAAAATAATATAAAACCAGCAGAACTGTTCATGCCATCTCATTTCACACTTAACTGCTCCATTGCTCTCACGATAGCTATTTCATTCAATCATTCATCAGAGGAAGTTATACACATACTTGTTATCGCTGTTCTGTAATGGGGCTGTGGTGATGGAGCTTGATTCTGTGGGCAGAGCAGTGGTGGTCCAGTTGAGGCTGTGTGTCGTGGTGAAGTTACAACCTTCAGTGGTCAGTGACAGAGGTCGGGTCATTGTAGGAGGGGAAGGGTACATCAGGGCTTCAAGGCTCACACACAAGGATGCAGCCAACCCTGACACAAGGCCTGACAAAGCTCCCTATAGAAAAACAACCTCACGATCAAAACAGGTATCAGGTAGAACAAAGGTTACGATATTGTAACCCTAGTTCTATTAGGCAGAGCCTTCTACTGATGAGCACCGCCAATCCAACGCTGTATGCCGTGGGCATACGTGTGATTGGAGGAAATCCAGTTGTGGACTCCCCTATGCTTATAAAACTGGGGTTATATTATCATTTTTTGTCAAACTTTAATTTCTGGTTGTAGCATCACAAGTGCCAACATTTGCTATTTTTCTGTATTCTTTAATATCATACTACAACCCATGAGTGAGCACCATAGAACAATAGAAGTAAAGCAGGACAATCAAAAGTTATTTATTATTAGTTATTAAATATTTGCATGAGTTAAAGGAATAACACTAGAAAAAGCAAAAAGACTTACTTTGGAATTGGCTAATGGACAGAGGATACCCAATGTGAACAGGCCAAGTAAAGGACCTCCAATGACCCCACTGACAATGACACCTGCCTGTTTAAGAAGACATGGTTACTGTTTTTGTTTATCCAGAAATTGTGATGCTTGTGTAACAGATCCACTCTACCTGCATCATCCCTCCCATGACTGAGGCCAGTCTACCCATGGTAATGCATAAAACTCCATAAAAGAAACCTGCAACCAAATTGTATCAGAAATAACCTATTAATAATTTAGTTACCAGAGTTATACCTTCACATAGTGCTCATCAGGCAAATCATTCAGCTGACATACACTATAACCTGCAAACAAGGACAATCCACTTACTCAGTCCTTTGGACATCCAGAACAGGTGTTTCTCAGACATGTTAGTGTATGGTTTGATAAAGTCCTCTAGTGTCACTGCAGCCAATGCATTGATGCTGGAAGACACTGTGCTGGGGTTAAATGACAACACAAAAACAAGCAAGAACCATCATATTTATTCACTTAAGTATTTATCAGCTGATGTCAGTTTAGAGTACTGGACACTTATAATCAATTGATATAGACTGCTGATCAAATCAATTACTTCAAATAATATATTGTATCAAAAGATTGTAAGCAATGGTGAGAAAGGAGCTAGGCAATAATATTCCTGTACATACCTTCTGCCTAAAGGTTAACAGTAAACAACATGGCACAGCTTAAAATGCTGTGTGTGTGTGTGAGTTGGATCTGAGGAGTGGAATGACTTTAATGTTGAGTATAAACCTTAGAGAGCCGCTATATACTGATGCAAAAAATAGTCCGGGAAGGCCAGGATAGTCTGTCAACATGTCTATCACCATATATGGCATTAGCTGTAGAGAAGGGATGACAGGGATTTATGTACATGATAAAGAAGCTGACACATTGAAGAAATGGTGACACCATAGCATGTATATTGTAATACACTCATTTCCTTGTGTGTACAGATATACAGTATATGTGTGTGTTGTGTTAAAACACTGACAACCATAACTCTCAGCTGTGCTTCTCTCCATCGTACCTGATCGGGAGCAGAAACCAGTCCGGCTGTCCATGGGTCACAGTTCTTATAGACTGAGTAGAGGCACATTCCTGCAAACACTGAGCCCAACAAGAAGGAGAACAGACCTAACAGGTTGATGTACAGTGCTCTGCAAAAAGAAAGTAACACAAACTTAATACAATCAAAGGCAAAAGACATGTACACAAACATTTATAGTATGGGAAAATGATGATGATTCATGATAAAATGATTCAGTACTGTCAGCATCTAGCCCTGACGCAGTGATTGTGGTGTTGTGGCTGCGGAAAAACATTTGATAGGATCCATGAGCCTATATATTATTGCAGCAAATTAAATTTCGATAAAAAACCCTAATACTGAACCCTCTTCTTCAGCATTGTGACTGAATCCCATGGCGGTGGCAGTCAGAGATTTAGTACATTTACCAGAGGGGGATAAAGAGCATCTATGATCACTATATATATCACTTTACACTGATGATATAATCATATTCATCACAAATCCTCAGATTTCATTGTACAGACTGGTTGAGCTGATACACTCTTATTGATATTCCTCAGTTCCTTCCTACCACATGCATACATTCAAGAAGCCACTACATGCAGATTTGAACTATTTTTAATTACCTATTACCTATGACTCAGTAATACTTATTACTCGGTAATAGAAGAAAATGTAAAACAAAATAATTTATAATTTCCATGAAGTGCAAGACTCTTTGTTTGATCCAGTGTCCTGATAAATTATTAAAATGTGACTCACACTCTGGCATGAGTGATGCTCTTGCAGGAGACGTATCTCTGAACCTGCGATTGGTTAGTCCCATAGACTGTGATATAGCCAAATGTCCCTCCAATGACAGTGGTCCAAAAAGTGTGTCTTCTCTGAGGGTTTATGTCAAAGCTGGTGAAACACAATAAAAACATGGTTTCCAATTCAGTAAATATATAAATATATATATTATAGTCCTGCTTTTTATGGTCAGAGAATAATTTTCTTGCCTGTCCAGAATAGCATCTATTGCTCAAAATTGAGTTGCAATGTTTGAATGAAACTAGTCCTCTCTCGACTTAATATTCAGATTCTTTAAGATACCTACTCCAAAAGGTTGAGTCTCCCTCCTTGTTGTGAATCTGAAATGACGGTTACGACTCCTCCTTGTGAGATCACAGACCTGATGATGACAGCAAGGTAACCTGCAAGCATTACTCCAATCTAGAAGGTAAAATAGGAGATTTGATTACCACACCTACCTGGATTTTTGTATCTGGTTATACCAGTTTGTTGCACTTCAGCTATTTTCCATGGGTTACATATAATGTACTGTATATATACTGTATTATTCCAAAATATGGTTGTTATTACTTTTGAATACTAGTGATACTTTTCCTGCTTTTTCTCGTAGTAAGATACGCTGCTGTGTAAGACACGCTAGTGTTCAGTATATTCACTCTAAGTGAAACAAACCATATCAGCCAGCCAATTTCATCCAGAGGCTTACCTGGAACACATCAGTCCACACCACTGCCTTCAGTCCACCCTGTAACAGTTTAGACCACAGATAGATGCTGCAATGATATCGCCATTCAAATCCAGGTATACAAAGTTTTTCCGTGTCTACAGTACTCACCAATATTTCAATTCCTAAAGTACTTGCTTTGAATGAGCCTGTTGCCATTTAATTATGTTACCTAACTGTACAGAGCAGGACTCATTTAAACTATTTCTTTACTAACCAATGTGCAGTAAAGAGTACAGACAATGCCTGTTGAAATAATTCCACTCCACAGATCCAGATCAGTAACTGAGAGAGAGAGAGAGAGAGAGAGAGAGAGAGAGAGAGAGCAGGATTTAACACAGCAGTCACTAAATGGCACCAAACCAATCAGCCTTAAGTGTAATCATTGTGAACCTGACTGACCAATGTGGACTAAAACCGACCTACCTTGGCTTAAAGCTAGTGCTGGGCCATAAATGACGATTCCAGTGTAGAGGATCTGTGACAGACAGAGAGAAATAATACACACATAAATGACCCTCAGGTGTCAGATTTGCTGTTTTGCCCTCAAGACGTCAAAGCCCCTCATTATGTGTTGACTGACTTCTTACTCACAGTCTGAACAATGAAGAGCACAGTTCCCAGCAGACGTGTCGCTCTGTTGAAACGCAGCTCCAGATACTTGACAGAAGAACATATTGTAAAGGGTTGTTGTCACTTGTTACTGTATGCAAGTGAACCCCATTCATTTATATATCATTTGGTTTCAGACAGTCATATTATGTGAATCAAAGCCACTGAGGATTTTGACATTTGATATTTCCCCTGCTTTCAATCAAGATTTGTGACCAAAGTTGCAATGTCTTGTGAGGAAAAAAGCTGCACTCAGGATGCAGGTTGGGATTTCCCCATCAAACATTAAATAGAACTGTTACTCATCACCTTTTACCGCCGAATCAACTGTAGAAAACTGATCTTTGTTCTGTTTGTAAATCACCACACATGCTCTATGTAGCAGTAGAATGAAACTAAGTACATTTACTCAAGTTCTGTATTAAAATGGATGTACTTAACTTACCTCACTGCATTCATTTGACAGGTGTACTTACTAGTTACTTACTAACTTGTACTTACTAAGATTTTGCATGCTAAAAGTATGAGCTTATGAAATATAATGCAGTGTTATTGTAACCTTTTTCTCAGTCTCCTCGGGTTCCGTCTGATCAACTAGGTTCGGGTAAGTAGATTGGCAGTAGCACTGAAGCATGAGAGCAATTGATCTCCAGCCCACATAACACACAACACAAAATGTGGTATAAATATATATATATTCGAATATTCAATTTTTTCTCAAACATAAAATGTTCAGCCTTACGCTCATTAAATGAAATGCAGTTCTTTCCACATAAATTAAATTCACAGTATGAAATAAAATTAGCTGACCCAGGTAAGTACCGATATAGAAAAAAATTCTTTCCCTCCTGTAATGGGTTCAATTGTCCTTATTTTCCCTGTTTCCGTTGTCTGTTTCAGTTTATTTATTGTCTTTCAGGGTCCTCCAAGGAAAAATAGTTCTTTAGGTTCCCTTGTCAATTTGTTTTTTAGCAAAAGATAAAAAAAATAAACCAAAAACACTGAGATCTCAACTAAATGTGTCACTCTTCAGGACTGAGCCTTGTCCTACCACACTGATGTCCACACTGCGGTCCCGATGAACCAAGAGCCTCCATGCAGCATGGCGGGTGATATGGATCACAGCTGAATTGAAGAACTCGTCCCTCAAAAAACCAGCCAGAATAGTTCAGAAAAACTTGAGGAAACACTCTTTCGGAGTCGCTCCCGTGATAGACTGCACTTCCACCAGGTAAGTATCTCTTCACACTCACTTTCTAACGACAGTTCTATCACAACATTCATCAAAATATCATCGGTTGGCCGCCGAATGAGGACGCTTTGCTCCCCGGTTGCACGAGGTTTTTTCTCTTTTTTTTCTTGTCGCTCACCTTCGCACACACACACACACACACACACACACACACACACACACACACACACACACACAACGCGTAGCACCCAAGTTCCATTGCCAGACGAGAAACAACTAGATGCATTCAAAATATCCTGTAAATTACAGTACTATAAAACTAATCAGGGTTACATTATGGATTAAACGACCCACCAGTATACAATTAAGCATTGAGTACTTTTATTATTGATGCTCCAAGCACATATTGCTACTGTAGTAATACTTACGTACTTAAGGGACATTTTCAATGCAGAACTTTTAATTGTAATGGAGGATGTTTATATTGCAGTATTATATTTACTGTACATATGTAAAGGATATGAATACTTCCCCCACCACTATTATATTTTTTATATTTCTTGATTTTTTTTATTTCATGAAAGGTGAAGTTTTGAGTAGCTTACAGTCCTGCACACAGTCCCATTATGTTTAAAGAAGCAGAAGCTCTGACATATTCTTCTAAAACTCACATTACTTTACCTTTATCTGAGTCCAGTTGGAATTATAACTTTCTTTTTGAATGATGAATTTATCAACTCTCACAGTAGCACAGCCACCTTGTATTTAAACAATAACAGTCAAATATCTAGATCAGTTCACTAGTATTCAGTAGGTAAACAGACTATTTTAAACCATAGAATGCACAATATGATTACTGTACAACCATAACATACAAACACTCATCAGACCAAAACCACACTTACCTCATAAGTGCTGATGAGGGCCAGCCTGTAGAAGACTGGGAGAAAAACCTCAGATATGACCACCATTGCCAATATATAGGCGAGACCAAAATATACAAATATGGCTCCATAGCAGTACACCTACAACACAGGGATATTGTCAGCCAGGAACGTTTTATATGAAATTGTCGAAAACAGAAGGAATCATGTCTTTTCATTCTGAAAGAATATGAATGTGCAATGAAATACCTTCAATCATCAACCAGGGAAACTGCAGTGAGAACAAGTAGAACTTTAATGTAAAACACTGTATCAGCCTTACCTCAGCTGGATTGGACAGCACTGTGATGGATGACATGAAGCTGGCTGTCAGGGACAAGGAGACAGGCAGGGCCGTCAGTCTTCGACCGGCTATGAGAAAGTCCGTGGAGCTTTCTTGGCTCCTGCTGACCCAAGCGTAGTAGAACCCGACGGCAGCGGACACCACCAGCATGAGAGCAAACACCACATAGTCTGCTACCACAAGGGAGCCAGACATCAGAGAGTCCCCTGACATTTTGGTGAGAGTTAGACCCAAACTATAAATAAAACTACTGAGAAAGTTATCCAGACTGTTCAGTGTGGATCACCTTCTAACAAAACACTGCAGGAAATGAAACAAAACAGCCATGACACCATTTATCTCTGTTTATGTTTGTGTTCTTGTCTCAGAATTCCAGACAGGTACATGAAGTGAATATCCAGAGAGTAGGTATTGTTTTCTGGCCACACACAAAGACAATAGTTACTAATTATCTAGAACAGTAGCCATGGTGTTTCTGTAAGGTTTGACATTAGGGATTTAGTCCTTGGGAGCTGATTACAGAGCCTGTTAGGTTTATAGTTTGTTCAGATTTGTTCTTCATAGCTTAGTTAATATGTCAATACTTAGAAATAAGTTACCTTCCTCTAAATATGTTGTTGAGGAATTTCTGTATTTCAAAAACTCATTCCTCGCGTGTTCGTTTTAATGAAGCAATAGGAGAAGATTTAGTTTCCTCAATAATCAGCTTTATTCTTAACACCAGTAGAATGTGCAAAGTTTACAGAGGGTTCAACAACGATTAACCTGACATGCACAAGGTCTGCCAGTTCACGAAGTCTGAGCAACCTCTTGTTCCTAACATCAGTTCTTATATTTTTGCAGATAACACACATAGCACCAGATGGTAGAATCTCCATCCCTCGTCCACTTGGTATCTCAACTCCAAGGATGGTGTTGTTGGGGTAGCCACAACCTGGAACTGGAAGGAGTCCGTCTGGCTCCATCATTGTTTTGTCTGATACTGACCTCAGAGGTCGTGTTTACCGCGATCTCTCCAAAAGAATGTCATGTTATATCTGCAACTACCCACACTCTTCTCCCTTATACTGTGCCTGCTATTCATATTCATTAATAAGTTATAATTCTATAACACATCATGCAAACATCTAATATTCCCTTAACAGCCCTTTATCAATGTAAGCATAATCAATGTAAGTACGAGTAAACATATTTCTATTCTAGTTAATAATCATACAGGTAAAAATATATAGAGTATAAATCACAAATATTGCAACAATGTGAATCACAATAATCTAACCATCACCTACACCACTGGTGGCAATAACATGTCCCAGAAAGCACTTGGAAAAGTCTAAACAAAACTAAGGTAATTACTACTCACACTTTACCGTCACATGTGCTGGGCACCGATTCCTTCTAGGCCTACTAATAATAAAGGGTGTCTTCAAATTCTGATATTATCTAGTAACTCTACTGATTGGTTAAGTATTGAAAACAGCAGCCCCAACAATTTGGTTTCATACAAATCAGACTATGTCTACCAATGTACAGTTTAGTTTTAGTTATACGCTGCTTAAAATATTTTGAACACCATTCTGGCTACTGCATACTGCATATAGTGTGTATATTATATTTTCTATTATATTGATTGATCTTATTTTAAGGTTATGGGAGCTTTTTTGATTAAATGATGTGAAGCAAGCATAATCTGCAGGGGGGTCTGCATTCAGGTTGCAATCTCTCTTGGAGGAGTTCTTCGAATCCCACTGACAGCCTTTGCCTTTAACGTGATATTGGCGAAGAAAAGATGTGTGTGTACGGTAAACAGAGTCACAGTGCTCATTACGCTGGTGGAACCACGTACCACTTCTGCCACACAGTGGTGGGACAACGTCATGACGTATGCTTTTACCATAGCATTAATACTGGCATATCGTGTCAACTCTAATACAAACCACTTTTGAAAAATGTCCCCTTAAGAACATTATCTACCATGGTAAAACAATGAAACAAAAGTTAGGGGCTATGACGTCATATCCTATCAGTCAGGATGGCCGAGCGGTCTAAGGCGCTGCGTTCAGGTCGCAGTCTCCTCTGGAGGCGTGGGTTCGAATCCCACTTCTGACATGAAATATTTTTTCATTGGAGCAGTTTCCTTGTGGTCAAAAGAAGAACAATATTATTATTATGGAATGATAATTTATTATTAAAATAATCAGTAATTTAAATAAAGTTAAAAGCAGAAAAAAGTTTCTTCCATGTCTATTAATGCAAACACACACTGTAACTTGTCCTGTGAATATTAGTTTATTAGAGTCCTTGAGAAAGACAAACCATAATACAATGTAACTATCAAACATGACAAATGTAGCTGTAAGGCTGCTCATCTTCAGGACAGTAAACTGTCTTTGATGGTCCTGCTGGAGCTGATGAAGGGGACATCTGGGGCTGCTCATCCACACTGGAAATGGATGAAGGCAGAAAAGGTGCAATAAGACTTAATTGCCCAACAAACGGAGTGTTCATCAATATATGAATTCTGATAATAACATGAAATAAATGTATATTTATCCTTTTAAATGAGAGGGTTCATAGTGCTCACTGTCTCCTCTTCCCGTCTCCTCTGGACTCCTCTTCCTGAAGGACAAATGTCAAAGTTGTGTCAACTATCAATGTGTGAACTATCAAATAGTATAGAAATCCTCATAAAACATATCCAATCCAACTTTATTTGTTAAGCACTTTAAAAACAACCAAAGTTGACCAAAGTGCTGTACAGGAGAATAAATAAGACATCATAGAATGAATGTATATTTACCTTTTTAGAGAAGAGGGTTCACAGTGCTGGCTGTCCTGTCTCCTCGCCTCTTGTCTCATCTGGTCTTTTTCTTGATTCCTCTTCCTGTTGTTTTCTCTTCTGTCTCTAAAAGACAAATGTCAGATAAGGAAGTTAATAATGAATAAAACAACATCAGCAGCCAGAAGAACTGTCCATCTGTAGAGGATGAGAAAACAGATGATAATAAAATAGATAAAAATGTATATGTATCTTTTTTAAGAGAGCGTTTACAAAGTATGCTTTCTCCTTTCCTCGTCTCTTCTGGACTCCTCTTCCTGAAGGACAAATGAAAAATAATAACTTCATCAAAATGAGAATTAATTACTACTTCACAATGTATTTAGGTGCTCTGATTACATGTTTTAAAATAAATGTTATAACTATTGCTGTCTGATGTCTCATACTTCTTCTAAAAGTTAGAATGTAATTTCATATTGTTTTAAGGTTTACTGGACACAGTTAGCTGAGCCACAGTTTATTTGCCATAACCATAAACTTCTGATTTTGAATTGAATTTTCATCGGAATCATCTGATAATATTATACATGTGTGGCCACAGGTTGAGTTATACATATAACAGTGATATAGCCACTGACTGAAACTGAATACATGTTTGTATTAGCTATGCAATGATAATGAGAGTAATGTGTATTCTTTTCCGCTTCAACAATCCAGTCAGTTCAGTTACCATTCTTCCCATGGTTATTCCCTTTCCAGGCAATGTATTTTCTTATCCTCTCTTGGACACTCCCTCACCGTTTATTCAATCAAGACAATTCCCTCTGCAGTCTTCAAGTCCATCCTCACACCTACATAATCTCATCTGTGCCATGACTGGGTTATTATTTGAACAATGTTTGAGCTAGGCTCAAATGATCCTGCTTTATGAATAAATCATACAATATAAATAAGTAGCCCAATTAATCCGTATTATCTTGTTAGTCTCTCCTAGAACACGGCTACACAACATCAAAGAGGGAAATATCTATTTTGATAATGACGAGCATTGATTGGCATTTATGCCTGTTGTAGTAAACAGCATAACAATTATTTCTTCAGTAACTCATAATAACATCAATACAGTATTGTAGTGCAAATCAAGTCTTGTGTGAATCCAGTCCTTGGCTCAATACACATACTAATGTTTGGATGCAGCTCCTCAGCATTTCATTGAGGATAGCAG